GTTTTTATGTTTGTTTAAAGAAAGAGTGTCTCTTTTTTTAAAGAAAGAGAGAAAATTGAGAAGATAGATCGACAAATAGTGTAAAAGAATTTTAGGCAAAAAGAGAAAGTGAAAAAACTTGTTGAGTATGTAATTTTAAAATGACTAGTGAATTTTTTCTTCCTCTCTTGTGGATGTAAGAAATTTTTCTGAACCACGTAAATTTTTGTCTTCTCTGTTTTTTGTTATTTTGTTTCAATTTATTTCTACAATGTAGATGTGTATTTTTCCTTAACAATTTCATATTCTACTGCCTAGAAGAAATGTTTGGGGGTCAAGATTTCCATTATCCAGATTCCGGTGCACCTATCATTACTTCAAGAACATCATCCTTGCTTAAATTTATCAACTGATACCGAGTCCAGACAAATATTTTGTGCTCCAAACTTGTATATCAAACCAAACACTTGAAATAATCTAATGATCAGAAAACACTAGAAGAAAACAAAAGTTATTAATCATTTGTATACTGAAATATCAAACCAAACAATGTCATGAAAAATTTATAAGTACGGAATAATCTAATTATCAAAGCAGAACAAAAGATTAAAAAGCTGAGACTTTGAAGAAGACTTAAATCTGAAAATATTTTCACTAGAAGAAAACAAAAGTGAAGCAAAACGTAGAAAGAACAACCAAAATTATTAATCATTTGTATACTGAAAAAAGAAGTCACTGATTGCCCATAATCTTTTTCCCCAAAGAATTTGCTCATGAATCATAAAACATGCTAAAAAATCTCAATAGCAAAGAACATTTTCTGCATTCCCAAAAAAAAAAAGGAAGATATAAAATCGCTACAAGTACAAGTACTCTTTTCAAAAAGGGTTTAAAAGGTCTAAAAAATCTTGTGACGTTTGGTTGTAGCTCTAACAGAACCGAATTTCCATAAGAGACAGCCAACAAGACTACATCGCACGAGATAATGAACGTTTTTAGAATTTGTTCTAAAATAATTTTATTTTTTATATGAAAATGAAAATGAAAACGTTTTTAATCTCAAGCAGAAATTATTTTTAAAAATGTGTTTAATAGTTTTATCAAGAGATTATTTTCAGTGGAAAAAACTCTATTAATATCTCTTTTTCTCTCTGCTCGAGAGAGGAGAAAACGAAAATAAAAAATAAAAAACGACTAAAAGTTATTTTTCATTTCTCTCTCATTTTACACTAAACCAAAGAATCGTTTTCATTTTCATTTTTTGTATTTATTGTGCCAAACACTGTTTTAAAAATATTTTCATTTTTTCTTTCTCGAAAAACGTAACAAATAAAAATAGAATTAATTTTAAATATGACCAATATATATCGACAACGGCAACACACGAGACAAATTATTTTTAAAAATGCGTTTAATAATTTTATCAAGAGATTATTTTCAGTATAAAAAACCCTATTAATGTCTCTTTTTCTCTCTGCTCGAGAGAGGAGAAAACGAAAATAAAAAATGAAAAACAACTAAAAGTTATTTTTCATTTCTCTCTCATTTTACACTAAACTAAAAAATCGTTTTCATTTTCGTTTTTGTGTTTATTGCGCCAAACACTATTTTAAAAATATTTTCATTTTTTCTTTCTTAAAAAACGTAAAAAATAAAAATAAAAATAATTTCAAATATGACCAATATATATTAACAACGGCAACACACGAGCCATCTAGCCACTTTAATGCCCCGCTTGTTCACACGTTGTCACTTGGATGCAATATAAACACTTAAACTTAAATCATATTTTTCCGATGTTGGATATTTTTCTATTTGGTATATATCCAATATATTACCATTTACTTCTAGAGGAATATTACTATTACTATTGGAAATATTTTACAAACAGAGCACTATTAGTATGGGGTCAAAGATATTGTTTTATATATCCCTCTGAGCTTGAAGAACATCAACTTTTTGTTTCATTGATATCAAACAATAACAGAGCCGTGATTTATTAGTATGGGGTCAATTTTTCTTTAATTAAGATTATACTAATATGTATATATATGTAACAATTTTTTGTTTATTAAATATTTTATTTTTTAAAATCTAAATTAGCCTAATAAAATGCAGAAAATTATTAATTTAAAAGGGTCAAATCTAATTTTTTTACACATACCTAATATATTAAAATTAAAATCATTATATAAAAAAAAAGTCCGCCAGACCTCGTTCATTTTACCGATTTAAATTTTTAGTTTTAATTTTTTACGGTAATAAAATTCTCAGAAAATGTCACATTTCAACTCGGATTGAAAACTTGAATCCGCCAAGTGAATGAGACCTAAATAAGGCGATACATAAAAAGTGGCTGTGAGAGACAGTGAGGGTTGCCGGGGCAAGGTGGAATCTTAAATTTTTAGTTTTAATTTTCTACAGTAAAAAAATTCTCAAAAAATGTCACATTTCAACTCGGATTGAAAACGTGAATCCGCCAAGTAAATCAGACCTAAGGTAATACATAAAAAATGGCTGTGAGAGACAGTGAGGGTTGCCGGGGCAGGGTGGAATCTTAATCAGTCTCATACCTAATGGGCGGGCTCTAGCAGAATCGTAATTCTACAAGAGACCACCACCAAGACTGCGTCACCACAGAATACACCCTCCGCCCCACCAGCACGGTGGTACAATGCAAAGCCGTCGTCCCACGCCACCACCGTCGACATTCAGCCACTTTATTGCCCCACTTGGTTACAAGCCCGCGTTACCTGGCCCAGCAATACGTGGGGCAACTCGAATGCAATATAAACGCTTCATTTAATTGATCCCTTTTCGATGTGGGATATATTGTTATTGTTGGGTCATGAGTCAATTCAAAAGTGGATAAGTCAATATTTTTATTCTTTATTTTTAATTTATAATTTTTTTAATTAAATAATTACACTAATAAAAAATATTTATTAAAAATAATTAATAAATATTTAAATTTATACACTCTTACCGATAAATTTTTCATTTTTTCTTTCATTTTTTAGAGAAATTGTGTTAGGACAAACTAAAACAAGAAAAAAAAGTTATATATGTCAAGTATTTACCATACCATTCTGTATGTATTACCTGACAAACTAACACAGACAATTACAGACATCTTTTAATTAAAATAAATCACCTCAACCCCCTTTAACTTTTCAAAAAATAAAAATAAAAAAGAAAGAAAATAAAGAGACACTTCTTCTATTAATTGATCGTGATTGTTGACTCAAATTTGACCATTAATTATTTTTTTTTTGCAATGTCAAAAATGCGCAGAAAACGTTCCTAGTAATATACATTATTTAAATGACCTTTTTACCCTTAAAAAGCACTTAAAAATTAGACTTAATTGATTTTTACATACCTATAACCATCATTTCACTTCCTTTGCTTTAATAAATATTCTTCGTCCACTAAAGTAGCTTCTTACATAAAAATATATACAAACTAAAACATAAGAAGCATTACATAATGCAAAATATGATATCAATTACATTGGCCAAAATAAGTCAAAATATGAAGATTCAAATTAAACAAATTTCATGACAATCAACAAGTGTCAAACTAATCACAACAATATCAAACAAATTTTACTAACATCAATCAAACAGATTCCACAAATATATTTGCATTCAACTTCAAAATAAATTTCACAATCAAACAAATTCCACGACATCAATTTTCAACGCTAAAATAATCACGCGAACTTATAATTTATGACTGAACCAAATTATTCTCACAATTATAGATTTTCAAAAACCAAACTAATCCCACAAACTAATTTCAATAAAACCAATCTCTCAAAATCCATTTAAAACAAACTAATTTTACATCAAAACCAAATATATATAGACAAAAAAAAAAGAAGAAAGAAAATTGACCATCACTCAAGAGAGATGCTTGGGGAAAGGAAAGTCAAGAGTTTCAGTTGAGCGACGTCGGTGGTTAGCAATTTGACGGCGGGGCAACTCAGGGTAACGGCATCAGGGCTGGGCAGCATTAGGGGAAGACCTTGAGAGCTCGGCCGCTCAGGGGAATGACATCCGCTGTTAGGCAGCTTGGGGGAAGATGGTGAAGAAAATGGTCTCTACTCTCTCGGTCTGTTTTTTTTTTTATTTTTTTTTTCTCTCTCCAAAGAAATAAAATGTTAAGAAAGCTCACAAACCTTTAACGGCCTTGCGCTCTTACATTTGAGGATTAACGGCCTTGTGCTCTTACAATTGAAATCAAAATTTTTGCAAGTTGTGTTTTCTTATACAAAAGAAAGTTCTCTCTTATATCACATTATTCTTGACATTTTTAAGAGAATTAACAAAATCTTATGCCTTACGTTTTGGGTCTTCTACATGAATTAACCGCGTTACCAACGTTGCATTTCGTTTATTTCATAGATTTGAACATAAAAGGTATAAGATAATTCAGATTTTAATGAGACAAAACGTTGTAGTTACAAAACAGACCCTCATTAATCTCGTATGCTTCCTATTGCAACACACAATTTATTGGACCTTATCAGAACAAAAGAAAAGTTGGTACCTAGTGTAGTAGAAACTAATTTTTTTGGCGAGCATTAATTATATATGAAAAATTCATGCTTTACTCATAAACTCCTCCAAATTCTACATATTCAAATCTAATTTTGGTGTGTCCTAAACGGTGAATCTAACCAACCATTACCTTCCGTTACTTGCATAATAACATGTTTTGGATATGCTGATACCTTGGTCCACATGTTCTAAATGTGACATAATTGGATGAAAGGAAATTTCCTCTTTCTTTCTTTGTTGTTTGCTTTCTTCCACGAGTGTTTGAAAAAAATAATAATAAAAAAATAAACGACAAGTAGTTGTTACACCACTGCCATACTATTTCAGTTTCTACTGTCTTGTCTAGTAGATATATTTGGGGTCAAGATTTACCATTTTCCAGATTCTGGTGCAGATATCCCTTTTTTTCTTTTTTTTTTTTTTTTCTTTTTTTTTTTTTTCCATGAGAAGCATATCCTTTGCTTCAAGAACATTGTTCTTGCTCAAATTAATTAACTAAAATGAATCCTGACAGCATATCAAAATAAATATTTTATGCTCCAGGATTGTATATAAAACGAAAGACTTGTAATGATCTACCGACCAGGAAATACTAGAACAATACAATGTCAACAAAGATTTGAAAGTATGTAATAAACTAATGGTTAAAGTAAAGCAAAAAGATTTCAAAACTGAGCGTTTGTTTGAAGAAAACAAAATCGGAAATATTTAATCTAGAAACATAACAAGAATTAGCTTCTCATCTCGTCTATCTGGAAAAAATATTTCTGTCAATCAAGTGTTTGTGGCCCTGGTATAGATCTGTTGACTAGCGTGAGCCGAGATCATCCTAATGGAACCCCTTGCCATCAAATCCTTAATAGCTCTACGTGCTAGCGATCCACTAATCTGAAAGCAAAGCCGTATAGTTTTAACAAAAAAAAAAAAAAAACAAAAGTCGATGTTTTTCCCAGAAAGAACTTGTTTGGGAATTATAAACAGGCCAAAGCACATTTTCTTCATTCAAAAGAAAAAAGATTAAAAGTTATCTGTGTGCATTGTATATTCTCCCAAGTTCATGCTCTCAGACCATGTTCTCAATAGTGTTATGTTACTATGTCCAAAATGATTTTAACATTTTGATCATACTACATTTAGTTAAATTGTTGAAGCATATTGAAATAGGAAAACAAATCAAGGAATGGCAAGTTAAAAATCACTATTAAACACAAAGCAAGAAAAACATAGAGCCAGCAATGGTTAAAAACAAAAGGAAGTTGTGATAATAACATACCCTCAACCTATCAGACAAGATTGAAGGAGTCACAAGCTTGTACTTTGGAACTTCACTTAGAAGCTTGTCATATGTTGCCTGGTCGAAAAGAACCGTGTTGTTAACTTTCTCCTTTTGCTTTCCCTTGCTCCATTTCTGCACACCAAAACACAAACAGCCTGAAAAACACATACATTTTATACTCAAATAACAATAATGACGACGATGATGATAATTGATAACCATTCAATTTCAATGTTCAGTGTCATTATGAACATCATATTAATTTTAACAAATTTCACGAATCTATGATACACTATGTTAGTAAAAATCTAAACTAATCTAATATTAGAAAGAAAATCTATCGAAAATATTACACACACACACACACACAAATAACAAAGGGCAGACTAAATCTTAAGAAGAATAATCGCAGAAACACCTGAATCAAAGACATTCCACATACACCCCAGGCACTCGAATTTAGATCCAAAAATTGACAATAGCATTGAGACATAATAAACAAGAAGAAATCTTAAGAATTTCCGATCAGGAAATCAAGCTTAAGCTGAAATAGAGATCGAAACGCTATGGCATTACCTTCTTCTTCTGCTTGCCTCCGCCAGACTTCGCGGGCTTCGAGGACGGTGGAGGAGCCTTGTCCTTCTTTGGTGCCTTAATAATAATAATAATAATAATAATAATAAAAGGTTAAGACTTATCCACATTTTCACGAACCTCAACAAGGCGAGGTTTCTCGGCAATTCCCAGAATTTCTCGGCAACCAAACAGGAAGAGACATGGAAAAGAAACTTACCATTTGGATGGGTCTTGGTTGATTTCTACAGCTCCGAGCAGTGGAGTTTGGGAAAAGCTTTCGTCTCTCTGTATATGTATATAGTGGCTACCTCCGAGAGGATTAGGGTTTTGATCGAATTATTCTAGTCTGTTTAACAAATAAACCAGCAGAGAGGAAAATAGGTCAAAATTTAAATAAATTAAAATTAATAGATTAATAATTTACGTAAATTAATAAATAGGTTAAATTATTATTTTTGTTTATAATTTGTCTGATAATGAATCATAATTTGACAAGTTATTATCTATAATTTATTTGATTATGAACCCTAACTTGACAAGTTTGTTCATAACTTATCTGATTATGAATCATAACTTGACAAATTTATCTATAACTTATCTAGTTATAAACTATAACTTAACAAGTCATGAGCTATTAATTTCTATAACTAAAAATTAATCTATATAAGCTCCGGCCTATTTCTCTAAATCGGGTAACCCGGGATCCAATCGGCCCAATCTAAATGGATCAGTTTGGGCTTCTTTAGGCGTTAATGACATGATTGTTCGAGAAAATGTAAAAATTACAATATCTCAATGTTTTTTTAAGAGTTGAATTAAAATATGCTTGGTCATACAAATATTACTTATATGGCTTATTTTTTTTAACTATATTTTTTGACAACCTAAAATACCTCTTGAGTTGATTTTGTCATGCTTTTATTGTGGTAAATAACTTCCATATATCTCTCATAGTTGAATTTTTAGAATAATTTATTTGAAATCCAAGTTCATTAAATTATTAATCCCGATTTTTAAATTTTTAAATTTTAATTGCTCCGCATTTAAAGTAATACCAAATTATAATGTAGTACAATGTCATTATGTTACTAAATTACAAATAACCTCTACCTCATAATGTAACATCACTTATACAACAAAATACCATAAGACCATGCATCATTAAAATGTATATACACTAAATTTGGCAAGACAACATTTACCAGAAAAAGAAAAAAGAAAAATTCGCAAGACAATATGTAGAACATAGTTTTCTACCAATTTGTAGGCCATATGTCATTAAATTACTTACAATAGCATTATGGCATTGAAATTATAAACAAGCACTACGAAAAATATAAAATTAGTTTTTATTTTTATTTTTTGCTAGTATATAAAAAAAAATATTTAATCTGCGACAAAGCAAACTGTAATTGCAAATGCAAACGTGCACAGATACGCGATAAACAACAATTAGTGAATTTTTAAAAAAAACCAATGATGTCATAAAATCATATTAACGTAGCTATCATTATATTTGTTAATTTTGCATATATAGTTTTTTATCAATTTTACAATGAAATTGCTTGTATATTAACCCGAATTAATTAGTCTCCCGAACTCAACTTATTCTAGATTGTGCTTTTCCAAATCCAACATGTAAAAGTAACTCTCTCAAACTTAAATCCACACATCTATATCAATAAGGGATAATTAAATTAGACAATAAGCATAGAGAAATACAAATAGATTGAAGTGAAAATACACTATGCATATAGAATCTTCTTAACATAGCAACGGTAAAACTGCATCAAACCCCTAGCTATAAAGAGTTTATGAAGTATACATCAATAATCTCATAGCATAAACCATAAACAATCCAAATCTCATATCCGTTGTCTACACATGATCAACAAAAATACAAATTCTAGAAGATAAAAGAGGAAGGAGAAAAAGGGTATAAAACTCGTTGAAGAACAAGCTCTAAATCTTCAAGCTCCCGTTCAATCTCCAAGCATGCTCTCCAAAATCTTGTAATTTCCTCTGTTGGTTCCTTTTTTTGTGTGTGTTTCCAAGCGCCCCCTTGTGATTCTTAGCTCATTTCTATTTATCCTCCTCTTGAAATCAGTGCAAATGAAGCCTTAAATGACTGCATAATGCGTGGAGGCGCAGCAGCGGATCACTTTCCCATTACAACGCCGTTAGGATTTTTGAGAAAACCCTAACAACGCAGGCAAAACCACTGCAGCGGGTCTTCAGTTTTTTGGGGGGGTGCTACAGCACAAGAAGTAGGCGCTACAGCACCTGGGGCTGGCTTTCTGCTGTCCGCGCTGCAGTGCGAATTTCATTTTGCTGTAGCAGCTTCATGGCTTGATTTGGCTCCCAATTTCACTCTTTTGAAGATCTTTTTATTCATTTTAACTCAAACCTACAAAAACAAGATAAAACACAATAAAAATACGCTAAAAACATCAAGAACTGACAAAAATAACCAAGATTTGTATGTAATAAAATCGAGCTATCAATTACGACAAACGTGACTTTCGCATTATGCTTTCCACTAAAATTGAACTTTTAGTCTTGATTGGATCGTGACCAAAATTAATTTAGTGCGCAATCCTCAATTAGACAAAAAAGTAAAGGCCACTTTTCCAAGTTCTTTCATTTGATTAAGCAGAGTATTAATCCCTTTCTATGAATTAGGGGTGTACACTATGAAGTGGATGGACTTGAATCGGAATGTCTAGTCACAATCATGCTATACACGCAACTAATTATCATAATATTTTAGATCTTTCAACTCCAATTGAACAGAAACATCATCAAAATTTGACAACAAAACTGAAGTACCCCAAAAAAGAAATAAGAAGAGAAAGAAAAAGGGGTATATTAGAGGCACTTACAAAAGCAGCCTTAACTTTCTACTGAGAATCATCTTGGAAGCGTGTAACGCGGTTTTAAGTGCCAATGACAGGAAGCCCAGTTCGGAGAATCGACTTTTTCGGGATTTTAGGCATTCCATGAGAATCCACTTATTTGGGATTTATGCCGTCCATGAGTTTCCTCAGAAGTCTCAACATAATGACAAAAAAAAAAAAACGCTATATTTGTTAAACTGATTCGGTAACCGGATGAAAGATATTATGGACGCGTTTGGAACTCGTTTTAAAATGATTTTATTTTTTTGTATGAAAATAAAAATAAAAACGTTTTTAATTTCAGACATAAATCATTTTTAAAAATATTTTTGATAGTTTTATCAAGAGATTGTTTTCAGTATAAAAAACTTATTAATGTATCTATTTCTCTCTCTCTGCTCGAGAGAGGAGAAAACGAAAACAAAAATTAAAAAATGACTAAAAGTCATTTTTTATTTTTCTCTTATTTTACACTAAATCAAAAAATCGTTTTCATTTCTGTTTTTTGTCTTTATTACGCCAAACGCCGTTTTGAAAACATTTTCATTTTTTCTTTCTCGAAAAACATAAAAAATAAAAATGAAATCAATTCTAAACATGACCTATATATGTATGTATATATTGATAGTTATTTTAATATTTACTTATAAATAGTATCGTTATTTAAATCATAAAATATATATCCTACGATTATACTAATTGGACAATGACAAAAAAAAATTTGGAAGTTAATATAAATTAAATTCTTATTACATTATATCAACAAAAACTGTTAAAATTTTCTATATATATATATATATATATTCATGTCCAATCAAGGAATTTCTCAAAACAAGTACATGGGATTTTTCTTTCCTTCTCTCTTTCTTTTTATTTCCTTTTAAGTACTCCTATGAAGCCATGGTAGGTTCTACCTTGACAATCACGATTTAAAGGTAAAGCAGTGTTTAAAAGATTCCTGCCTATAATAATTTAGCCTTAAAAACCATTGATAACTTTTGCTAAATGATAAGGCCATTTGGACGTTTAAGATAAGGACAATATGCGTTTGGAATTAATTCTAAAATAATTTTATTTTTTTATGAAACTGAAAATGAAAACGTTTTTAATCTCAAACAGAAATCGTTTTTGAAAATGCGTTTGGTAGTTTTTAGGAGTGTTCGTCGGTTAAAAACTGTCGGTTTTGGTCAGTTCGGTGACCGAACCGACCATGTCAGTTTTCTGAAAGTTGGAACCAAAACCGAACCGTACCTAACAGTTTTCGGTTCGATTTCGGTTGGTTTTCAGTTTTGGTAATCAGGAAGATGACCTCAGTTAACTATCTTTAATTGCATTTTTGACCCGCAAGTACGAAAAAATGTAAAACTTTCCTTCAATGCAAAGTTACAAACACGTAATCACAATAAATCAATACAAAGCACAACATCAAAATTGATAATTGCACAAACACAAGTTTAAAAAATATTTAAATTGTCATAAGTAAAACAAAACGAAAACATTTAAAAAAAAAATCTCATCTCGGTCGGTTCAGTTTTTAACCGACTCTCTACACGCAAAACTGAAACCGAACCGAATTTTGAGGAAGTCGGTCGGTTAACCGAACCGACTGTGTTTGGTTCCACGTGACACCGTCGTTTTCGGTTTTGAGCGGTCGGTTTCGGTTTTACGATTTTTTTGTACACTCCTAGTAGTTTTATTAAGAGATTGTTTTCAGTTTAAGAAAAAACTGAAATTCTATTTAGTTACATAATTTCCACCTACCTGCCAAAAAAAAAAGTATCTGTCCAAAGAAATGGAAACACAAAATGAAAAACGGCTTCAAATCGTTTTTATTTTCTAAGTGGTTTTACACTAAATTAAAAAATGAAATTATTTTAGTTTTCTTACATTTTTTCCTCCAAACACGTTTTCTCCTCCAATCACATTTTTTTTTTATCTTGAAAAACATGAAAAGCAAAAACGGAATTGGTTCTAAATATGATGATTATCTTCTTCCACTTTACATTCTGTGCTTACCTTTTACACAAATATTGTTTACATGTTTTGAGAGAGAGAGAGAGATAGGATAGGGCAAGAGAGAGCGCTAGGATAAGGCAAAAGAAAGCTACACAAGAGGAATAAGAGCAGAGAGAGAGAGAGAGAGCAAGGATAGGGCAAAAGAAAGCTACACAAGAGGAATAAGAGCAAAAGAAAGCTACACGAGGAATAATAGGGCAAAATAAAGCTACACAAGAGGAATAAGAGCAAAAGAAAGCTATACAAGAGGAAAAAGATATTGAGAAGAACTTTTGCAAGCTAGGATAGGGCAAAAGAAAGCTACACAAGAGGAATAAGATATTGAGAAGAACTTTTGCAAGCTAGGATAGGGCAAAAGAAAGCTACACAAGAGGAATAAGATATTGAGAAGAACTTTTGCAAGCTAGGATAGGGCAAAAGAAAGCTACACAAGAGGAATAAGATATTGAGAAGAACTTTTGCAAGAATTAATGAGAGGGGTGGCAATGGAAATTAAAAAAATCCTATTGCTTTTGATGCTCTTCTCCCATCTTTGTGTACTTGGATTATCTTCATCCCCTCTTCATCAAGAGACCTTGTCTTCAGGTACTCCTTTTGCTGTGTTTTATTTATTTCTTTCTCAGAGCAATAATTTTACTCGGATTATATATGGTAATTGATAGTTAATCGTTTTGCTCTGGAGCTAGAACTGAAAAGGGTCTAATATTTACCTGGAATTCCTAATGAGTTTCTTCATGATATTCATATGATAATCATAAAGTCACATTTATTGATGCGGATTAGTGATCAGTAAATGACCAGTATTATTGAATAAACATCAGAAGCTGAAATATATATATATATATATATACACACACGTATATATACACACCTAACTTGAACTTCTAACTACCTTGCTAAGATACAAAGAGCGACAACAAAAGAAGAGTTTTTCACTCTTTTCTGTTGTCTTTTATGTTTCATCACCTTTTGGAGATGGGATGAAATTACTGAAGGGTAGTCGAAAATTTTAAATTGCAGTTGCATTTAATTATCAATAGAAAAAGAAAAAATGACTTTTGAAGATTCTGTGGCATAATTATATTAAAGCAGAGAGATATAACTAAAACATTCTAATAAACACATATATTGCTTTATATCCTAAAGTGATGTTGCATGATCATCATAATAAGAACTCATTCTATCTACTATTCTCGAAACGTCTCTTTGATCTTCTATCATAGGTAATAGGCACACGTGTATGCTGTACATACCTTCTCTCTGTCTATATATAAATAAATATATTTTTTGGCTGAGAATTACTTTGTTAGCAGTGTCGGAAAATTTCAACATAGTGATATTTTGGTTCTTGAATTTCTAATTCTGGTATATTAGTTCCTGAACTTTTGTTTTTTTAGTAGTTTTGATTATTGGCACTAAAATCAATAAAGGATTTCCAAAACTTAACATAATAATCATATCTATATTGTATAATAACTGAAAATTTTACATAAATAATTACTTAACATAATAATCATATCTATATTTTCAACCGATTTTTTGAACATAATATAGCTAGTTTTTATAAAATTTCAAGTTCTAACACAATGTGAACACGGTTATCCCTATTAAATTTCATAAATCCTTTATCGATTTTAGTGGTAGGGATCAAAATTGTCAAAAAAAAAAACAAAAACAAACAAACAAACAAAACAAAACAAAAGTCTAAACTATTCCTTCAAACCACAATAAATGCAAAAGTTTATTTTAAAACAAAATTCAATAAAATTATTTATATTTTAAATTCAATAAATTTTAAAATAATTAGTTAAAATAAAGAGTATGGTTTAACAAAAATTTAAAGAGTTTCTTGGAGATGCTCTTATTCGAATTACTTATGTATAAAGAAAATTACGTTGCAAGTCAAAAAGTACGAGAAGAGAAAGTTGAGTATAATATTGTAGCTACAGATTTTGGCTGCCATTTTCCAAGATACCTTACTGCTAAAACTAATATTATTAGGGTATCAACTTTAAACTTTGAATCTCTGGTATGGAATCAAATTGCAACAAAATTGTTGTCTCCCACATTAAAAGGTCGCATAAGTCTTCATTTGCATGCATTAATTCCTTTCCATTACTGGAATTGGTTTTGATTTTAAGACTCTTCCATTGCAAGAAACTTGGAATATATCAAAGTTGTCTAAAAGGAAAAAGCTTGTGACATATAGTTAGTTTCCTTGCTTTGTAAGTTTCTACCCATAGGACCTACCTGAATACTAACGGAAACTTCTGATAAACCAAAGCTCTTTCAGGGATCAAGCTTGGGACTAATAACATGAGAATTTGAGAGCAACAATGACAACATAAGAAGTATGTTCAATTTGCTGCCAATTTAGAGCAAACGTAGGAACCATGTTAGTCTATCGTATTTATACACTCACGCGTACACACACTTTTTTTACTTAATAATACCCGTTTGATTCGTGCGTTTAAATTAATGACTTTGATTCTGAATTAAAATTTTGTGAGAGAACTCATTGGCGGGAATTTTTTTTATTCAAAATTTTCGGCAGAATTAAAATCATGGTTGCAAACGCGTGAACCAAACGGGACCTAAAATTTTATGATTTTATCTGCTTTGATAACATAATAACTTGTAGGCACTAACGTTTGTATCATATTCATTAACCCACCATAGCAATACTTTATTTAACCTTCTTGTTTGCTAATCTGCATTTCTTCTTTTAAGAGAATTCTTTAGTAAGATATGAAAAAATAAAATAAAAATAAAAATAAAAAATTTCTTACCGGTATAATCCAATTTTAAAATCATCGAATTCCATTAAATTATGAAATTCTTTTGTCTGTTATAATTCTGATATGACCTAGTTGCTAAAACTCGTGTTACTTGTGGGGCTTTTCTCTAGTACTCTACTACTGAATTCAAAACTGATTGAGCAAATTTTGGTTTTATCTACGGTGACAAATTATACTTCAGGGCAATGCAGTAGTCAATTATGTAGATCTCTGTGTTATTGTTGCATTGCACTTGTGTCCTAGTTTTCATATTTTATGACACTCTGAGGGAACAAAATGCTAGCTCATGATATCTTCGATCTAATTTCGGTGCTCTAACTCCTACTAATCATATAATTCCCAAAGATTTTGTGCAGGAAAAGACCTTGGGAGGTGAAAAAACACATGGGAGCAAGCTCGAACACGGGATTGGACGCGGAGCAGCAAATGCGGGCGGCACCAGACCTAACCCAGTTGAGGCTGGAAATAATGGTGGCACCAAAACACCTTCTACACAGGGAGGAACAACTTTCATCCCTGTATATGCAGCCGGAGCTGCAAACAACCGCCATCCGTATCACCGTGGAGCCGCCAACTGTAACCGGATAGGAGCTTCCACCCTAATTGCTGCTACAATGGCCTCTCTCTTACATTTGTATGAAGTGCCTAGATGGGGATAGAAGTAAACATGTCCATGAACATGACAATCTAAGTGCTGCCAGCTTCAGTATATAATACAACAGTTCTTGTGCTTTGTAGTTAGCTTTCTTGTTATACTAAAGGTTTCTAGTGAATGTCTTAAAACCCTGTATTATGCTTTGTTTTCACCCCCCAAGCAACCTGTATTAGTGACTTGTACATCCTGTGCATGATGCCTTCCGAACACATGTTGTACACGTAATGGCCGATGATTGAATAATGTTTTTATTTGTGCTTTTGATATCATTGCATCACTGTGTGTGCATTGTCATATGAGTCTAGGGAGCAGTACAGAAATGATCTATGGATGGAAAGAAGAGGCATGCACCTTGACTTTTCCATTAGGGGCGTGCGCGCACACAAATAATGCAAGATCGAACTTGCACACTTCCAAACCTAAACCCAGGCCCCACCCACCATAGCCCATGCCATTTGACCTAGTGGTCATTGGTGGCACGCACCTCGTTACTTTTCATAGTTTTGTTTTTAACCAGGACCAATATCCATTCAGTTAAACTAGACATCCTGGCAGTTTGAAGCATCACCGGGAAGAAAAAAAAATGTACAAAGTGATGGATGTAGGCTATAAAATTCTCAAGACATTTGTACATGCAACTATGGCAATGCGGAAATGTGCGAAACTATCCAATCATGATGTTGAAAACAATCAATGTGTCACAAAAGTTATGCTAAATCCTTCTTACTATATTACCGTCAAGAGTAAATGAAAAAGATTTTAAGTAAACAAGGTAAAGGGACAAAGGTTAAGTAGAACAAATACAAGGACAAGAATGAATAATTCTAGCATCGTCAGAAATGAGTGAGTTGCTCCAGCTTACGAGCCTGGAAGAATTTGCAGCGCCCTTTACCAGTTGACTCAATTTCTTCAATCTTTCTCTTTGATGTTGTGACACCAAAATTGCTTAACTTTAATTGTTGCTTGCCACAACCGCTATCTTCATCTATGTCGGATTCCCTAAGATGGCAAACACAATATTAAAGACAAAATAAATATCATCAACATACTTTGGTTCTCACTAACTTCCTTCATTTAAAGCAATTTAAATGAGCTTGGCATGCAAAATTTGGATTATCTATTAAAAAAGTATCCTTGAGAGGGAAATTTGTTGACAAGTCCAGTGTGCAGGCTTAAATGATCCGCCTTGTGTGCACAAGCAAAGGTTTCATGTCAGAAAGCTGATAACGAAGAAACCAGGCCAGTTTTACTAGTAATTTGGACAGGGGCACACGACTCCAAGACAGGTTCTTGTTTAATCCCAGTAATGAATTGCCAGATTTTTGGTCCTTCCATAGAAAGCTTCGAGACTCATTTATAGAGTTGATGTCAGAAGAACAGTGTTATAATGTAAAACTACAAATAACATTAGTAAAAGCAAAAATATAAGATATAAAAAAAAATTAAAAGGTTGAATCTTCCTGATTGAAGGTCAAAGAACCCACAGAGCCAGAAATAAATATTTATGTATTTTCTTTGATAAAGACGGACTTTAACACATGGTCGAAATTCTCCCTCTTCCTCTCACGTTTCCAGAAAAATCATTGGATTATTTTCTACCAGCTCATAGTAATGCTTATAGTGATTGCAGTAAGAATAGAAAGATTTTTGAGTTGACTGCAGGTCTTTTAATGTTGATCTGGTAAACAAAATCTTCTTTGGGTCATTTTGTTATGGAGAAATCGTAAAATATATATATATATATATGTATATAACCATGCTTTATAAATTCGATTAACGCACACAAACACAGTTGCACACACAAAAATACACTCAGGAGAGCAACCAAACATTCAGACTCCAGATGGCGCATAAATAAAAAGATTCTCAGCGTGCATGTACATGACCAAAAGCATGGACTTATAAAATATTTCCTCATAGAGATTTGCAAGAGAATGTAGGACTAACCACAAGACCTCGACCAGTTCTTTAATATAGGGAGTGCATGTACCCCAACTGAAGCGAACCAATGTTGGGAAGCCAAATACTGAATGCTTGTGATGTTGCAGCCAGGCCTTGGTTGCAGGATCTATACAGATGAAAAGCATTATCAGGCACCTATAGTAAATTAGCATTTGAATCTTTCAAAATGTCACACCTAAAAAAAAAGTCGGGAACCTTTTACCTCCAGGGTATCCAGAACCAAAGTTTCTGTGCATGTTTTCAGCTGTTTCATCAAGCACCCATTCTCGCAAGGCTCGATCTCTAGTAACCTGGACATGTGAATCTAAGATGAAACTAGCATGGATCTTCAAAGACTTTATGAAACTACTAAAAGAAGGGGCAGCTAATTACTTTTGCTACTATGCTTGCTCCACTAACAACTGGATAAAGACTGTCGGCTTTCTTCGAGACTACAAATTTGACAGCAGGAAATCTTTCAGACAGTTTAGTTCTGTACTTTTCAGCATCCCCAACTGTATCTAGATAAACCTGAAACATATGCATTGGTAAAGTTTTACCACCATTCATGACATTATTAATAAAGTTTATATTGACCACGTGTTAAAAGTGAACTTGCAAAGTCTTCATTTTATTTACCTAGGAAGCATTATGACATTCTGCCTATGTTTTTTAATGGCTTTCAATTTTTTAGGTTACTTATCTTCAAATTCATCATAATTTCTCAACATGAATTTACATAGTTTATCCATTAGAGGCACCCAATAAGATTACATTAGCTCGATAACCCTAGAGTTAACAGAAACATATATCCACTATCCAAATTCTTTTTTTTTTAATTATTTTTTTACTGAAAACTAAGAATGTATTACACATGAGTGTGAAAATTAGTACATTTGATATTATACAAAACAATAGTTGCAGTTAAGTGTTAGGAACCTGACAATTTCCTCAACCAAACAGCCAAACACTCACACACACACAACCAGCCAACACCAGATTTGATACAAACAGAGGAGTTTTATTGAATTTTACTTCAACACTAGTTCATACAAACCAAAACCAGCTAGAGAAAATTAAAGAAAGCGAAATGGATAGAACGGAGAATTCGAGTACTCCGGGGACTCCGAATTCGGTGGTATTCGAGAGACCACCACTCTCCCTAAGATCAGTTTCCCAAAACTCTTAAAATCACAGCATAACAAACTCTGCCCCTTCCCTCTATTTTTATACTTTCCTCTAATCCTAGCCAAAAACAAGACAAATCAGCACTAACATAATTTCTGAGAAATTATGACCAAACCCAACTAATTCCTTTCTCCTCACTTAACCCCTCTTAGCCATTAACTTCCTAAGAACTAGTGTCTAACATTAAGCGACCACTCATCTCATGCATGTAGGAAAGACATTTACCTCAGTTAAAAGGACTCCCATGTTTAGTACTTTTGTGATAAGCCCAATTGCAGACTCATGTGATATCTCATTTAGGTTTATCTTATTTCTGTTGACAAGAAAAATGAAGAAGTAAGGTAAAAGGAGCAAAAGATATTAGATGACAAGAACTGCAAATATTCTAAACTAACTTCTTTAGCATTTTTGCTGAAAGCTCTCTAGGATCAATGACGTCAACATCCCATCCAATCGATTCATCAGCTTTTAAGTTCTCAAATAATTCCTCTCTCTTCTCTTCCTTTAATGTCTTAGAATCTGCAGCGAAGGAGCGGGAAAGACGAACATAAACTTGAAGAGAACCACGCAATTCATAAAACCCCATTCAATGACAAGAAGCCCACAATTCCAATCAAGATCAAAACCCCATTTTTCAACATCGAAAATAAAGTTAAGGAGTAACCACAGAATAGATATTTGCGAGCTTTATCGGTTAGCTAGTTCCTAATTAACACTTCAAAAGCTGTTCAGAGTCCAACATTTCCCTTCACCATGGGAAATATAAGGACAAGCATTACACTAGTCACAAGAACTTATAACTCGAAAAAGGTCCAAAATGCTATGTGGAAACCAATTTCAGTAATTATTAAACTTAAGGAGAATCATAATGTGACAAATACTTCCACGAATTAAAAATCGGAAAGCGAGTTTCTTCATGTCCAAAGGGCTCAATACTTTCACCTTATTTCTTCCACCAAATGGCAGAAAATCAAAGTTGTTGGGAAATTAAACAAAAATCAAAATTGCCCATTTATTTTATTTTATTTAGAACTTCATCTCTCAAATTCCTTCAAATTTCCTAAATTGTGCACCACAAGTTTCTCAAATCGAAATACCAGCATCTCAAGCTTTTACAAATTGGTAGTAACAGGAAAAAGAACAATGCAAAAACAGGAAAAGAACAGACCTTTATCTGAATATAAACGAAAAAAACCCTAATCCAAATTACAGTAAAAAAAATGGAATTAAAAACGGAAGATAAACCTGCAAAGTTCAAAGAGGAGAGAGTGTTCTTGTAGGAGCGAGCACAGTACAAGCATCCGTACACCATTGGTCCTGAAACATAGCAGAAACTATTTTATGTGAGAGAGAGAGAGAGAGAGAGAGAAATGAAAAGAAAAAGGAAATTTTGGAGAAGAAGAATGAAGAAGTAGACCTAAAACAGGGCCTCGACCAGCTTCATCGATGCCCATGATGCAAGGCTCTGTCGCCCACTTCGGCAGACCCGCTTCCGATCTCATTCCTTCCTTCCTTCCTTCTTCCACTTCCACTGTTCCGCAGTTCCACTCTCAAACTCAAATGTCTCTCTCCTCTTCGTTTTCTCACTCCTTCCCGCCAATAAAAGGAAAACAAGTAATGAAATGAGGAGAAGTTTCTCTTATAGGTCAGTGTTAGTTTCTATCGTTAAATTAGGTTAAACTCAAATTATATTGAAAAAAATATGAAAGACAGATAGGTTCTAATAAATCTGAGGGTTGAATAATAAGAATTATCAGTTGTCATTTTTTCTAGTCATGCCAAAAACTCTCATAAAATAATCATTAGTTTTTCTGATGTCCTTATTTGTATATTTATATTAAAAATTATTTATTTTATAATTTTTTTTATTTAGTGTATTTTACAACAATACCATTACACAAATAAAATATAGTGAATGATTTAAAGTCAAAATAATTATTTTATTTATCACTTGCTTGTTAAAAATTTTTTCTTTATTTTTCTTTTTAAAGTTAGAAGGATAAGAAAATAATAGGCCTCATAAATTTACAACTTCTTTCCTTTCTCTCTAAAATCCTTCCTTTTATTTTTTTTCTCTCCATTTTCCACTCTACCAAACATAGGCTAATGGGAGCAAAAACATAAGGAGCCATTGGGCCCATGGTGGGGTGCAGCTGTTCCCTTGGAATACTCGTGTCATTTTGTTGTTAACACTTCTCGTTTGGTTCACTGACTTGAATTTATGATTATGATTATGCTCTTTCACAAAAATAAATAAATAAAAAAGATTCCGCTAATGTATTCTCTTATAAAATTTGAATTTAGAATCAAACTTGAACTTATGAACCAAACGGGCCATGAACAATCAAGAGTTTGATGATTTTCGTCAAAATTTAAAAAATGGGGACAATATGTCACCTACGGCTACTACAAATACTCTTATACTAATTACTCTTATCACCATCATCAACGTCATCATCTGAATGCATAAATATTCGGTATTTGCAAGTATAGTCAGTATTTGCAAGTATAGTCTTGATTCTACCATAGTCTGGCTACTGAAAAAAAAAATGTAAAGTTCAACTCTTCTACTTTAAAGTTTTTTATTTTTATTTTTTTGTACTTGATTATCAAAAATCATGTGTGACATTTTGAAGCACGGTACATTTTAACACCCTGAATCGACCATTTCACAAATTAACTAGGGTTGGCAATTTGGATACCGACACGACTCGAAACCTACACGAATTAACGGGTTTGAGTTTATCATAAATAGGTCCGGGTCAAAATCAGGTCGAACCTGCGAAACACGATTAAATAACATGTTATTTTCAGGTTGACCCGCCAACCCGCAATTGACCCGCCATGAACCGTTTATTAAACGTATGGGTAACACAAATACACAACCCGTTTATTACTCATTTTATAAACATGTTCAAAAATAAGTTAACATGACCCATTTATCACCTATTTTATAAATAGGTTCAAAAATAGGTTCAGAAATAGGTTAACATGACTCATTTATCACCTATTTTATAAACGGGTTGACAGGTAATCAACGAGTTGACACGACACATTTATGACCTGTTTAATAAACGAGTTATTCGTGTCGTGTCGTGTCAACCCGTCAATATACAAGTCGTGTTTAGGTTTTGTATTTTGACACGATTAATAAACGGGTCGTGTTCGTGTCAATTGAGGGGGTCAACACGACACAAACACGACCCGCCAATACGAACTGCTACCCCTAAAATTAACCCTATTTATATGTTAAAAGAGTTTCAGACATTGCCAGCCCTAACAAGTTTCACGTTTAAGACGTAGAGATGAACTTGTACTAACTTGTCTTCACAACAAGTTTCTTGTATAGTCATTTTTGGTTCATCTTGACCGGGTCTATACACTGTGGAACCAGATGATGATACTCTGACTACTCCTCATGAATCATGATTCATCTGTCATCACTCGTGAACTTACACAGAATTCAGTTAGTATTTATGACCTTAATATCTGACGATACTTGTAACTAAAAGCTTCCTCTTGATTATTTCTTTTCCTTTCTTTTCTCCTTCAAGTTTCATTTTTCATTTTCTTAATGCAATATTCTTCAACTGTTTTTTTTTTTTTTTGGAATTTTTTCTTGGCTTTGGGTCCCTCTTTCATTAACTTTAGGCATTCACAAAAGTTTATCATATATATCTGTCAAAATTCCATTTTTCACAATCTCTCTGGAACCTTATTTATCACTTTACTAAAAAGCTTTTTGGATTACCACAAACAGGCTCAACGTGACACTGCAGAGCCAGCAGGCCATGTGAACGTTTTGCATCTTCCATTCAAAGTGGCTGCTGCATTGATTGGACCCATTACTCAATCTCTCTCTCTCTCTCTCTCGGACTTTGTGAATTTTGGTTTTACAATAATGTAATGAATTCTGTTCATTATGGCCAAAAGGATAAACATCTCTCTCTCTCTCTCTCTCTCTCTCTCTCTCTCTCTCTCTCTGTGCTCGGACTTTGTGAATTTTGGTTTTACAATAATGTAATGAATTCTGTTCATTATGGCCAAAAGGATAAACATCACATTAACGCACATTCCTAGAAGGGACCAATCTGGAATTGTAAAACAAGCAAACTTCAAGCAAAAGAAGCTTGCTGGAAGATACAACATGGCAAAAGTCTCATTTTTTCTTTCTTATTTCTCTTGCTTCTTGAAAGTACATCATATCCAACAAACGCAAACTTTTGGTACAAGTTTGTCCAAGTAGAAATATATACAATGCACACTGAACTAATAACAGATTTAAACCCAAAAAGAAAAAGGAAAAAAAAAAAAAACAATAAAAACAATAATGGCCCCTCTACCCTGCCGAACCTTACCCTTACTGTTCACATAGTAATGCCACAGAGGCTAGAAAAGCATCAAAGCAATGTAAAAAAACCAGATATTGTATGGTTGATGTCAGTAATTGAGGAGACGATCTACCGTGTATTAACATGAAAAACACATTTAGTCGTGCGACGAAAACAACGGCTCACAGCTCCTCAATCATCTGAAGCATGGAGGACATTCGTTCTTCGTCGTGGCACATCGCGACCAAGTCCAAGTACTGCATTGCATCCACAGGAAGTAGCCCTTCAAGGAAGAAGTTGAACAAACGTGAGTGTGTCCCTTGCATTGCATCCAACGACTGTTCCAACACCTTCCGTTGCTTCGGTTTGCTCAGCTCGGTTGCCTCTATATAGGGCAACACTTGAATTTCCTCCTCAATGAAGTGTTCTTTACAATGCTCCTATATTGACAAACAACCAATAAGCAAAACACCATATTTAGTACATTGATTGACATGAATTAACAAGAAATTAAACAGTGTCATATGCATAATGGAAATATCCCCATCTTAGCAGATGCAATTCGGCACAGCATTATAACATATATATGCATGTTATGTGTATGAACCTACGTAGACACGTAGTGTGTAATCTACGTGCATATGTATACATGTACATCTATACGGAGCCACATATAGTTGAGCGAAGATACGTGCCCGCACTCAACATATGAGTTTTTATTCTTATGCCTAGAATTTTTTAAACTTCCTATATTACGAGAAAAAGTATACTTGTGTCCCCACTCAATAATTGAAATTTATAACCATGTTTTCATTTGACAAGAAATTATCTCTCTTTTTTTTCAATAGTGTCCCCGCTGAAAAGATTTTCTGGCTATATGTATGCGTGAATGTTTATATCTGCATTGCATCATATGTTATATGCCATGAAAATAAACATTGTAGATCTGATCACCAGCAAAGATTTGAGACGCTTAGAAAGGTTGGAGAAAGCCTCTTGATAAGCAGGGCTCCCATTGTCCAATACTCCAATGGATTTTATGTCTTCTTTGATGCCATTCATTATGGGTAGGTGCCTTGCATGTTCCTCATTTGCAGCTTTACATATTCCTGCATCATCACCATCATTGTCAGCTTTGTTGCGTGCATAAAATATTCTCCAAAAAGGTTGCTTCCGAGAGAGGCAACCTCTTCCAATATAGCACAGAAAAAGATGGTTCATCCAGATAACATCCCTTATCTTATTATCATTCTAATCATTAGGATTGAAATTTAAGTTTGCTCGAACATGTTATTAGGGCTAAAAAAACAAAGAGAGCTAATTATCCATATACCTATAACCTTTTCAAATGGACATCCTATTCTAAAGCCAAATAAGCAGATATAAACTTTATCCCATCCCCACATGCCAAATAAGCATCCTTCTTTAGCACATAAAGTACAACGAATAAAAGGAGCTTCTTTCACAAACTGAATTTTCCTACAAGCATTAAATTTGCATTGCCCAAAAAATCACAGGAAGCATTACACTTTCTTTGACTACGAGACATGAATTTTCCCATAAGCATCAATTTTTTGATGGATAGAAATGCATCAATTTTCCTACAGAGCATTATACACCTTTGACTATGAAACATTTTAAAAATCCCCCCAAATTTCCCCCCCCCCCCGAAAAAAAAAAAGAATCACACAATAATCAAGAAATCAAATTAGCAAGCAATAATCCCAATAGTAAAACACAACTTTTAAAAATTAAATCATAGTATAATTTAACAAAATATAATAACACAAACCAATTTCTCACATCCACAAAGGAAAAAAATCATTTTCTCTCTCACTCTCAATAAAACCAAAAAAGAGTCAGATCAACAGAACAAAAACGTACTTTCAATAAGAGTAAGATGAACAGAACAATAAAAATAACAAAACAAAAACATGAATTTCTGAACACACAAAACAAAATATCCTAGGACACACAACACAAACCTGGATCGGCCGAATTGAGAATAGGGAAAAGAACCCTCTCCTCCATCTGCGCGTGCTCAAGCATCATCTCCAGCAGCTGCGAATAGCTCCTTCCAAACTTCTTCACCTCCATCCTCGGCGTCCCCACGCTCGGATCGATCCCCACGCTCCGCCTCTTTCCCCCACGCGCCGACAGATCCTCCGACCACCTCACCATCCTCTCCACGTGCCACGTCATGCTGTGATGCTGCAGCGCCGTCAGAGTCACCACCCACGGCTTCGCCCCCTCCTCCACCACGCGCTTCCCCAGCGGTACAAGCGGCGCGTGGGGGAACTTCGCCTCGATGTACTGGAGGAGCGACTCCCGTGTCCCTGACACCCGCTCCGAACCGATTTCGATCAACGGCGGATCGGATATCGACGGCGTGAACTTCACCGGAACGCCCTTGTGCTGGAGCGCGAAGCGGATGTAGGCGGTGTGGGGGCTGATAGGAGAGCCGTAGAGACGGACGGTGGTGGATGAGTGGTGGTCGTGGGGAACGATCTCCGCCGTCGATTTCTTCTTCGGTTTGGCCGCGGCCGCGGCGGCGGAAACCGGCGGCGGAGATTTCTTCTTCTTGTATAAACAGTTCCCCATCTGCTCGACAAAATGCCTCAGAGAAAAAGAGATCTGAAACCCAAAAAAGAAAATTTTGCACCAAATTAAGCAAACTAAGTTGGTTGGACTCGGAAGTAAGAAAAAAATGTGAAACCGTTGGGACTTTGTTTGTTTGCTTCAATGAGTTACGTATAAAAAAAAGAGAAAAATGGTTTTGTCAGTGAATGGATAAAGCGAAAAGAAACAATCGACACACAGGAAAAAACGGAAATGAAGATTCAACTTCAAGCAAGCACATTTAGAGAGAGAGAGAGAGAGAGAGAGAGAGAGAGAGAGAGAGAGAGAAGAGAGAGAGAGAGAGAGAAGTACAAGGGGAGTTCTGTCCGGTTGGGGAACTCTACGGTAGGTGCGGTTCACCGGCGACTGGGGTTCGGTGGTTGAGTTGGTTTTGTTGAAGTGAGAGAGAGAGAGAGAGAATTTATAAGACAGATGAATCAATGTTATTATTGCTTAAAACGGAAGAGAATAGGAAAAAGGAGGCAGAGCCGGTAAGTTTAACGTCCACAGAAGAGAGAGAAAGAGGAGAGAGAGAGGGAGAGAGAGAGATTCCCTCCTTTTTGGGGGGGAAGTAATCCGGTGTGGCGGAGGAGCACAGTGTAGTCCAGTGGACTCCTCGTTTAGAGAGAGAGAGAGAGAGTGGAAACGCTCCTTATAGTCGTTGTGTTTGTTTGTTAGGGTCTTTATCTGCTTCAGTTCTCGCTGGTTTCCACCTGTAGCCATGTCCAGTCAACGTCGTCTGTTATTTTTTTTTATTTGCACTTCAACCCCTGAATTTATAGTGCTTTGGTAAGTTGCCTCTAATTTTTAACTTTGGTGATTTGCCCTCCCTTAATTTGCAAAACAGTTGTTGTGTCGTCACATTTGGATGATAATTGTGTTACATTAGTATTGAAAAAGGACTTTTAACATCTCAATTCAAACTCAATTTTCTGACTCTTTAAATCTGACAAAAAAAAGAATAAAATTAATAAAATGAATTATTTTGCAAGTTAAAGGAGTAAATTGTGAAAATAAAATGTAGGGAAAATGTTACCAAACCTCAACAGATTCAAGAGTCATAAGTGTGCAAAGTACCCTTTATTTTTCTCCTTGTTTTGTTTTATATACTTTTGAGAATAAAAAATAAAAGAGACAAAATATTTCCAACCAAAAAGCAATTGAAGGCACGATTATGGATATAATTATTATAATAACAATCACGAAATCTTATGTTTGAGTATTGAAATTATGGAGGTGGCACGGCATCACGTTCCTACCCATTATAATATAATGATTTCCGATCTAGAAAAACTTAAAAACAAATCAAAGTTGGATTTACCTGACCAAATAATGTAACCATTTATTATTGGATAATATTGGTTAGGTTTTGGTACTACAAAACTGTCCTTCGACTTCAGTGCCATATGTAGACTAATAATTAATTCGGTTCTGTAGCTTGGTCATTGCAGTTTCCAGTAACCTATTGGCCTGCTCCTCCTATATTTAATTTAATATTCATTTAGAGCCTGTTTAGTTGCATGATTCGTTCTCTGATTTGAATCATAGTTCATGATTTGTTACAGTATTTTTTCTCACAAAAAATACACATAAATTAAAAATAATTCTAATATCATGATTCTAATTTATGAACCAAACGGACTCTTATTTTTTCTCTATACTTTTATTAACAAAGTCTTTATGTGCGATCACACAGTCTAGTAATTGTAATTGTTTTTTTATGTATGTGTAATATTATTCATTTTTCTATGTAATTTTATTCGTATGTTTGTGTAACATTTATATGACGTTTGTTTTAAATATTCAGTCTAATTTAAGATTATGGTTCGTAATTCTGTTACAGTATTTTTTTCTCACAATAAATTTAAATTTTAAAAATTAAAATCATGAACTAAACGCCACCTTCGTGTTACATATGTTATTATATTAAAAAAAACATCACTACACGGGTGTTGGGAAAAAAGTTATGTGGACTTTTTCAACCCAAAATAAAAAAGAAAGGAAACAGAAAAGAAACATCTCTTGTGCAAATCTTGACCTTTTTTATTTTGTTTTTTGTTTTCTTTTGTTTTTTGATTTTTTGTAAGCTTGAATATTACAAAAGTTACATTAAGAAAAGCTAAAACCAAATGGTGAATGTGAGACCTTTCATATAATCAGACCATATGAAGTGGAGTCCAGCTCAGGTGGGTCTTAAGCTGCTTGATATATCCCGACTTCTTTCAGCAAAAATAACTACATGATGAATAAATAATGTGAGACCTTAAACTTTAGTGGCCTTCCTTCCTATAAATATCAACCCACATTTTTTGGTATTTGTCGAATTTGGATTTTCTCTCTAACGGTAATATAATGGCTTAAATCTTGCTAACAAAATTTTGAAGAACGCTAAACTAGCCGTTAAGCTGAAAAAGGGGCAAAAGTGCCGCTCCTTGATTGGGATGTCACGCGTGGGACCCCTCTCCGTGCGGTCACCATCTAACCCTCCAAGTCAGATTGACACGTCACCCAATTCTAGAAGAAAACTAACCCCAACAAAGAAAAGAAAAGAAAAAGCAAAAACAAATACGGTACTCTACTACAGATAGATGAAGAGAGTTCTAACAAAAATAAGTACACGTTTAGTTCAGAAATTTAAAATTATGATTTAAAATTATTTTTAATTTATGTATATTTTTTTAAAAAAAAATACTATAACGAATCATGAATCATGATTCAAACCATGTCTCGAATCTTCGTACTAAATACCCCCATAAGAGTAATTTTATTCTCTTGTACAAACAACAGAAGAAATGCCCATAAGACCACAATTCTTTGAATTAGAAAACAGAACAGCGACAAGACCAAGAGGGAGTGGAGTAGGGACGTTTTAATTACAGCGTAGAACAGGTTCTAGGCTTCTAGATTTGGCACGAGTTTTTGATATACAAGATCAGCAACACTTTTGTACACCAAATGAAGAACATAGCATCTAAAGAGGTACTAAAGATCACCGATTTTAGTTTTGCCATTCAATCAACATGAGAAACCTCCACAAGCAATGAGCCACAGAATGACAATTACGATGAGCACTGCGCCCGAAATCATCAGCTTCATTTGGAGGTTCTGCAGCCACATCTTCCGTCGCAGTTGCCTTCCTTGCCTCTGGAAGCTGTCAGCCTGGATACAAAGCGGTAAAAAAATCCTCACAATCACATAAAAATTATGAAATCGCTGTACCTTCAGAATCACAGAACCAAGAGAGTTTGCAGTACCTGGAACTGCAGATTTTCAGTCTTGTCCACCAGAAGCTCGATCCTCTCACCACGGTCCAAAACCTGCAAACGAAGGGTGATTAGATAGGCAATAAATAAATTCACAGCTGCCCATGAAATTGTTTCATGGCTTGGCTGATTGGCTACAGGAAGATATTGAAAAATTACTTGTAAGTCGTACCATTGACAATAGAGAACAACATTGCTTTCACTGTCTCACAAACTATGACAGGTATAACTAAAATGGAAAACGAGAACCATCTAATATTAAACGCAACAAGCAACTGAAGCTGAAATAATTTAAATCTTGGATTATCACTTATGACCACTGAACTTTGGGGTCACCCCCACTTTACCCCCGAACTTTGAAAATCTCCACTTTACTACCCTAAACTTTCATGAACTTCCACTTTGCCTCTTCTGTCCCGATTTCCGTTCAAAAGAGACAGAAAACATCTCAAGTGCACTCACGTGCATGGTGTTTGAGGGTAAAATCGTAATTGAACTTTTGGTGATTTGCACCTACGCCCCCTGAACTTTGAAGTCACCCCCCACGTAATCGTCATTGAATTTTTGGTGATTTGCACCAAAAATTCAATTACGATTTTACCCTCAAACACCATGCATGTGAGTGCACGTGAGACGTTTTCCGTCTCTTTTAAACAGAAATTGGGACGGAAGGGGCAAAGTGAAAGTTAATGAAAATTTCAAATAGAAAGTGGAGATTTTCAAAAGTTCAGGGGGCAAAGTAGGGGTGACCCAAAGTTCAAGAGGCATAGGTGATAATAATCCTTTAAATAATTCAGTTGCTATCTGTTACGTTTACCCAACAACTAGGTTTTTGGCATAACTTCCGTTCACCCTTCGACTATCACAGGAGGTCCTGTCTTAAAGGATCAGGTTCTTGAAGATCTCCAAGGCAACATCCGCTTTTACCATCTACTCCAACATTTTGGATTCACTCCCAACTCCAAAAAAAAAGGTCTAAAATTCCTTGATGCATAATATCACTAACACACTCTGCTACAAAGGTTCCTAGCCTTTTATAAATGGCCAAATATCCTAGCTGGTCATTTCCCATGTTTTCCTAAACTAAATGCTCCTACATTATGAAATTCAACAAATATTATATTCCAAACCTCCCCCTCCCTAGCACATGAACACAAACACAAGGATTTTTTCTACGAGAAAAAGAGAAAAGACATAACCTAGGATAAAATCCCATGGAACTGGTCCTTCACAAGTCCAATTTAATTTTCATCCTCTCAGGCCTCCCCATCTTTCTGATTGACAAGGGTCGAAAAGTAAATGCACTTCAAGTAACATTAAAACCCAAAAGCTAATAGCTTAATGCGAGCACCTAATGGCAGTCCCTCAAATGTCCATACATGTGAAAGCTGCTATAAGTAATTTTTTTAATTTAGTGGTTGATAAATGTTGGTTTTAGTAAGAAACATCCATATTAAACTAGCCAACGATTACTTGGTATCAGCATTTATCCATAATGATAAGAGCACCTACACGAAATAACAGTTTCTACTTCTTTCCTTTTGTGCTCAAGAAGTACAAAGGATTTCAGCTTCAAATGAGAACTGCTATGCCAACTCAACGAGCCTTGAATAATTTCGACAAACATACTTCTATAACGGACAATTAATAAAGTTAATATAGTCCCCACCTAGATTAAATACTACATAAGACAGAAGGTAAGAGAGTAACTAGACTGCGACCACACTAAGATACTCTAGAATAGGATAGCTAAGAAACAAAGAATTATAAACGAGTTCTTACAAGAATACAAATAGAAATTGAAGGTGGCAATACGTGAGAGAATATGTAACATAGATTGGTGATACATCTTTCCCTTTCTGGTGCTTTCCAGACGAACAAAATTAGTAAGGAATTCGAGGCATATTGGATATACACATATTTCTCCATCAAAAGATACTCACAGCATGACAGCAACTACCACCGTAACGGTTAATTCAGTTTATACTTCATACATATTTCATGGTCCTAAGAATATCTGGAAGTCTTTTCACAATCTCATCCAGTTCAAATCCAGATATACAATAACCTAGGATTTAGAAACCAGGACTTCAGCCTTCTACGATGTTTACATTAGTTTCATTTAAATAATAATTATTTCCAACTAGCAACAGCCCTTCTTTTTCCATCAGTTTCTCACAAAAGCGAAGGATTACAGGAAGATCGATGGAGACACAATGCTCACTTAATCCAGTATTTCTGTGACGGAATATATTCAGATCATGACAACAAGCCTGCTTTAAAGGCTGTCAACATTTATAGAACTGAACCATTGCCAAAAGAATATAACCAGAAAAAGCATTTCCTAATCTTGTTCTAGTCAAAAGCAGGAATACTAATTTATCAGAGAAGCTGATAGGATCCCGCCTAGACCTCCTATCAACTTTACTTATTCTAGAAGGGATAAAAAGGGCATAGCTGGGGTGGAAGTCAAGGCAGGGGAGGGCAGTGCTGAGGTGGCAAATTCTGTTAGGGGATTCTGTTAGAGAAGCTGGCTTGGGGAAGAATATAAGAGGGGGAAACAAGGAAGGAGGGGATATCGAGAAAATCTGTGGAGACTACTGGGTCAGAATTGGGAGGTGGAGGGTCCTCGAAATCCCTCGTTCTTTGCCTTTGTTTTCTTTTGCTTTCTTTCATTTTGTTCCTCCGGTGTAGAAGGAGAGCTCTTGCTGTAATGCTCAATTGAGCCGTTCCTATCAATAATAGGATCCAAACCCTTTTTCTGGTTATTCACGTTATTTCCCTTTTGTTTTAAGTTCTTGTTTGGTTAAGTGGTTTTCAAGTTCCTATCAGCTTGCTATCAGAGCAGGACGATCCATGGCGAACCGTCCGATGGAACCACGGACTGAGAATCACGAGGACGCCGTGGAAAGACGCGTGGAGCACCTCAACGAGGCGGTGCGTCTCCTGGGTGCGATGGTCGATCCGGTACCAAGGTTGCAGGAGGATATGACGATCCTCACGGATCGGGTGGGCCGAGTTCAGGATGCGGTCCAACGCATGGAGGCGCTCCTAGGACAACACTTCGGGGGGGAGCGTGGCCTTGATCCTCGTGGAGCAGCAAGAGAGAGAGAGCGTGGCCGTGAGTTTCGGCCAGAGTCGCCGGTGAGACGGAGGAGAGGGGAACACCGGGGAAAGAAGCTCGCGCTTCCGATTTTTCATGGTGAGGACCCTTACGGATGGTTGTTCAGGACTGAGAGGTATTTCGCGATCAATGATGTCGAGGAGGAGAAAGTGATGGCAGCGTCCGTTTGCTTAGAAGGGCGGGCTTTAGGGTGGTTCCAGTGGGCGGAGACTCAGGAGCCATTTGTCGTTTGGAGGGACTTTAGGGCCGCCCTGCTACATCGCTTCAGCCAAGCCCAAGAAGGAGATCCCACCGAGAGGCTGATGTCGCTGAAACAAGGGGGGCTGGTTGTAGAGTATCGGGACTCCTTCGAGACGCTGGCAGCAACTTTGAGAGGTGTGCCAGAGTCAATTTTCCGAGGAGCCTTCCTGAATGGGCTGAGGGAAGATATACGGGCCGAGGTGAAATTGCACAGGCCCAGGCCCATAAATTTACAAGAGGTAATGGACTTAGCCCAGCAGATAGAAGATAGGAATGAGGCCCAAGATAAGTTCAGAAAACTGAAAATGGGCCGGGGGTGGAAACAGGAGGGAATGGGCCGAGGGTATTCTTTTACCGACCAGGCTAAGATTAATGGCCCCTATTCTGAGAGCTCCCTTCAGTCCAGTGTGTCGAGGGATTCTGGAACATTTCCCCGAGCAAAATCTGACTCGGCGCTCGCTCAAGCGTCGGCGGTCACCCGCGACTCTGGGTTCCGACGTCTCTACGATGACGAGATCCAGGCACAGAGGGCCAAGGGGCTCTGTTTTCGGTGCGATGAGAAGTTTGGGCCAGGGCATCGATGTAAGAACCGACAACTGCAAGTCCTCATGGTGGCAGGGGACGAGTTGGAGACGGAGGACGCGAAGGACGAAGAGGCAGAGCAACCGGTGGGGTTACCGGACGAGGCGGCGGATTTGTCCCTTAATTCCCTGCTAGGCTTCACCTCCTCCAATACCATGAAGTTCCTTGGGCGACTGGGTTCTCGAGAGGTGGTAGTCCTCATTGACAGTGGGGCATTGCATAGTTTTCTGTCCAAAAAGGTGGTGGACGAGTTGGCCCTGCCATGCGCTGAGACAAGGAGTTATGGGGTGCAGGTGGGAAATGGAATGAATTTTAGGCAGCAAGGGGTATGTAAGGGCGTACACTTGTGGGTGCATGGTTTCTGTATTGTGGAAGAATTTTTTCCCTTCGAGCTAGGAAGCGTCGACGTGGTTTTGGGTGTAACGTGGCTTCGGCGTTTAGGTGAGGTTCGTGCCGATTGGTCCAAGTATACCTTGAAGGCTGGCTGGGTATGTTGGAAGGGGGACCCGTCCCTGAGTTGCACCCCGGTGAGTTTCCGGGCCTTATCTCGGCAGTTTACTCTGACACATTTGGGCATACTTCTCGAGTTAAGTGCAGTCACGGCAGAAGAGGCGGCTGTCCCGGAGCTGCTACACCCACCCGAGTTGGTTGACGTTTTGACCCTTTATGAGGAGGTTTTCTCCTTACCGACCAGTCTGCCACCCCATCGAGCGGCGGACCACCACATTGTGTTGAGGGAAGGGGCCGTACCACCGAGCATCCCCCCCTACCGTTATCCCCATGTCCAGAAAGGGGAAATCGAACGCTTGGTCTCGGAAATGCTCTCCTTCGGCATAATCCGGCCGAGCAACAGTCCATATTCTAGTCCGGTTCTGTTGGTTAAGAAGCGAGACGGAAGCTAGAGGTTTTGTGTTGATTACCACGCCCTAAACCAGCTCACAGTGCCCGACAAATTCCCCATTCCGATCATCGACGAGCTTTTGGATGAATTACATGGGGCGACAGTATTTACAAAGCTCAACTTGAAAGCGGGATACCACCAAATCCGGGTTCACGACGGCGATGTGGAGAAAACAGCCTTCCGTACACACGATGGGCATTACGAGTTCCTCGTCATGCCCTTCGGGTTGACAAACGCTCCGGCCACGTTTCAATCTTTGATGAACACGGTGTTCCGCCCATACTTGCGTAAATTCGTCCTCGTTTTCTTTGATGACATATTAGTTTATAGTCGATCTTGGGAGGAACACAGGGCTCACCTTACTGCCGTTTTGGATATTCTGCAGAAGGAGCAACTCGTCGCCAATTGGAGAAAGTGTCTTCGGACAGCCACAGTTGGAGTACCTCGGGCATGTCATTTCCAAGGATGGCGTCTCGGCCGACTCGACCAAGATACTTGCGATACGCACATGGCCGAAGCCCAAGAACGTCCGCGCAGTTAGAGGATTTCTTGGCCTAACCGGCTACTATCGCAGGTTTGTACAGGGGTATGGGGCCCTTGCGCGGCCACTTACGGACCTCTTGAAGAAGGGTACTTTCACGTGGACTGACGCAGCCTCTCACGCCTTTGAGAAATTGAAAGTGGCCATGACTACTCTGCCGGTCTTGACCATGCCAGACTTCTCCAAGACGTTCGTGGTCGAGACGGACGCGTCAAGGACCGATCTTGGAGCTGTCCTGTTACAGGAAGGCCGCCCAATAGCGTTTTTTAGCAAGGTGTTGTCACCTACCTCGCGGTTGAAGTCCGTATATGAACGGGAACTCATGGCCATTGTCCTAGTAGTCCAAAAGTGGCGCCATTATCTTCTTGGCCGCCACTTTGTGGTCCGCACGGACCAACAAAGTCTGCGCTTTCTACTGGATCAGCGTCTCCTTCCTCCAGAGCACATCCGCTGGATTTCAAAATTGATGGGGTACGATTTTGAAGTCCAATATAAACCCGGCGCTTCCAACCGGGTTGCGGATGCCCTATCTCGCCGTGACGAGGCCCCTACGCGGGAACTGATGGCTTTCTCCATGCTGGGACTTGTTGACTTGGAGAAAGTCTGGCTTGAATAGCTCGAGGACGTTACTTGTGCTCGCCTGGTTGCGCAATTACAGCTGCACAAGGAAGTTCCCCTCGGGTACAGCCTACAGAATGGTCTACTCTGCTTCCGGGGCAGGCTCGTTTTGCCACGCCAATCCATTTGGATTCCGCTGCTGTTACAGGAATTCCACGACTCGGTCATTGGGGGCCACTCGGGATTCTTCCGCACCTATAAGCGCGTGGCTGCGAATGTTTTCTGGCCAGATATGAAAAAGACGATCCAGGATTATGTGGCTCACTGCGAGACATGCCAAAAGTCCAAATATGAAGCCCTCTCCCCGGCAGGACTGCTGCAGCCCCTGCCTATTTCGGATAAGGTTTGGGACGACATCTCCATGGACTTCATTTCAGGTTTGCCGAGGGTTAGAAGTGTGGACACAATTCTGGTAGTCGTGGATCGCCTCTCAAAGTATGCTCATTTCTGCCCAATTGTTCACCCCATTACAACCAAGCATGTTGCGGAGCTCTTCATTCAGGAAATAGTGCACTTACACGGCCTACCACGCTCCATAGTAAGTGATCGTGACCCTGTCTTTATGAGTTTATTTTGGCGGGAACTCTTCAAACAGCAGGGTACTCGGCTGCACCACAGTTCCTCGTATCACCCGAAAACCGACGGCCAAACTGAGATCGTTAACCGGTGCCTGGAGACTTACTTGCGCTGTTTTGCTTCCGATAAACCAAAAGAGTGGGTGCAGTTCTTACCTTGGGCGGAATTCTGGTTTAACACAACTTATAACACGTTGACTGCGCAAACGCCATTCCAAATTGTGTATGGACAGAACCCACCCACCTTGCTCCACTTCCACGATGTGCCGACGGTTCAGCCTGCCACTCCTTCTGTGGTGGAAGATGTGAACCTTCAATTGCAGCTCTGCAATCAAATGTTGGACGCTCTCAAGGAACACTTGCTCGTGGCTCAGAATCGAATGAAAAAGTCGGCGGATGCTCGTCGTTGTGAGGTGATCTTTGCCCCAAGTGAACTTGTGTTACTCTAAGCTCCGACTATATCGCTTGAAGTCTCTCGCGCGGAAGGTGAATGAGAAACTTTCTCCTCGTTTTTATGGGCCTTTCCCTGTTCTGGAGCGCATTGGACAGGTCGCTTATCGGCTCCAACTTCCAGCCACGGCTCATATCCATCCCGTTTTCCATGTCTCCCAGTTGAAGAGGTTTCGCGGGGGCGAGTATAAAAGTCAGCCTCTGCCTCCCCAGCTTTCGGAGGACTTGGAGCTGCTTGTGGAGCCTGCAGGCATTTTACGCGCTCGTACCATTCCCTTTGGCGGTCGGGATCGCGTGGAGGTCCTGGTGTCTTGGCAAGAATTTGCCCGATTAGGAAGCTACATGGGAACCGCTCGATGGCATCCGTCAACAGTTTCCCCACCTCAACCTTGAGGACAAGGTTGCTCTCGAAGTACTTATTCTAGAAGGGGTAAAAAGGGCATAGCTGGGGTGGAAGTCAAGGCAGGGTAGGGCAGTGCTGAGGTGGCAAATTCTGTTAGAGAAGCTGGCTTGGGGAAGAATATAAGAAGGGGAAACAAGGAAGGAGGGGATATCGAGAAAATCTGTGGAGACTACTGGGTCAGAATTGGGAGGTAGAGGGTCCTCGAAATCCCTCGTTCTTTGCCTTTATTTTCTTTTGCTTTCTTTCGTTTTGTTCCTCCGGTGTAGAAGGAGAGCTCTTGCTGTAATGTTCGATTGAGCCGTTCCCATCAATAATAGGATCCAGACCCTTTTTCTGGTTATTCACGTTGTTTCCCTTTTGTTTTAAGTTCTTGTTTGGTTAAGTGGTTTTCAGGTTCCTATCAGAAGCTCTCTAAAAACATGTTAAAGTTAAGGCTTTCTACTTGATAACCAACAATCTATCTCTCGCAATTGGCATCTTTGTGACAAACAAAAACTCCAAGGAAAATATAATGTTTCTATCTACATTGATCCAGAATCACATAAAGATCAAGGAATACGCAAACAAACTATCTAGATCCCTAAAACAGACTAGAACCAAGCGAAAGATGTCTTTTAATATCAAAAATTAAATGTTTAGGTTATCTGAATCAATTGGGAATCAAAGAAAGAATACCTTTTCAATATTGTCCATCATAATTCCCTTGACCTCACTAATTTGAGCCTTTAATTTGGAAAGCTTGCTCATTTCTTCTGGATGCTCCATACAATATTGCATGTGCTCCTTAAGCCTTGGCCTGTCAGAATAAAGCACAACGTTAAGTGCTAATGCGTGTTACAACATTGCAAGAAAGAATACATAAATATTCAACAGTGATATCCATATACACACCCAAATTCTCTATCAAGATTGTATGCAATGCTGAATCGGTCTTCAAACAAGTCATCGTCCTCATCATCATCAGCAAGAGGATGCGGACCTTCTTCTTTAATGCCCCCGCCATAACGCTGTCTAAAATCATCCTTCACTCGCTCAAGAAACACAAAAGGCACACTCCTTCCAGTTGATTCATCTGCAACAACAAGAAAAACTGCACCCGCAACAATTATCTTCAACCATTCATGCCACAATCAAATTGAAATTTTTTTTTAAAGTATATCAAAAAGAAAAAGAGTAAATACCAAAGGCATTGTCGATAAGGAAGTTAAAAGTGTATCCATCACACGAATACGTGTACTTGCTGCTATTCGACTGAAGCTTCTGCAAGCATTGAACAGCAATGGTACTGAAGTTTCCTGAGAAAGATGTATGTTCTGCCAAAACGACAGTTCCTTTTGCAACAAAGCTATATATTAACCCTTTGTGACTCATCCTTAGATTTCACCACAAATGCGTTCAACAAACAGAAACTCTCTCTCTCTCTCTCTGTCTCAAAATGCAACAATAGTAATATATTAATAATTATATCCTTAATAACAATATAAATGCATAATAAGTAACACGATAAAACCCAGTATCAAATTTAACAAGACGCATAAATATGCGCCAGATTCGAGCAGAAAGGAATTTAACAATTTGCCACGTGCAATGAACTAATCCTCTAACTTTCCGTTTGGTAGTCAAGAAAGGAAAAAAAATCGAAGGAAAAATAAATAAATTAGCTCCGATTCACTGAACGCGACGAAACCAAACATCCAATTTCATTTGTTGCGCATTGTTTTTATCTTTTTAAAATCCCGAATAAAAGAAGCAGAGAGGTAAATTGAAGTTAAATTTAAGTTTTTCTTTTGTCTTGTTCGTTCAATTTCTCAGCAACCAAACAGAAGCACCAAGATAACAGAAAGAAAAACCTAAATACCTTTCTCAAATTCTGCAGAAATTATAGAAAGTTTTTCTAACACGATAGATCAAAAAAAAGGAAAGGAATTACCTTGAAAACGCGCAGATCGATGGAGGAAATCGAAGAGTGAGAAGGAAAATGGAAAGAAAAAGAGAGAGAAAGTGAAGATGAAGAAGAAATCCGGTGAGAAATGGGGAAGGTTGCTTCGTGTGAAAGACTTGAGATGAGTTATTACTCCGATAGCGATGGCGACGTGGTCTAGGCGTTTTTCTTGTTTTTCTTTTTTATTATTTGTTTGTCGTGACCAAAATACCCTAAAAATTATTATAAAGTTTTTATTTTTTCGCTAAAGTGTTTTTATTTTTAGTGTTATACAAAAGTTAAAAATTAGAAAAGAAATATAAATGAGCAAAAAAAATTGTATACCTTTGTTCCATTTTGTTTATTTTTTTAGGAATTTTTTTGTTATTTTTTTCTTTCTCTTAAAGACATTTTGAGCATTTTTGTAATCTATTGACCGTAAAATTTAAAAATGTACCGATCAAAACTTAAAAAAATAAAAATAAATAAAAACTTTCTTAAATAACACTAAAATATAATGGACAAAAAGTGGAAAAAAAAGAAAGAATAACTTCAATAACAATTGAGGTCTGCGTTTTAAGAAACACAAATTAGTTATTTTGATCGTGTTTGGAATTGATCATATTTTTATTTTTCACATTTTTTGAAGAAGAAAAAATGAAAACGTTTCTAAAACGGCATTTGGCGTAATAAAGACAAAAAATAAAAATGAAAACGATTTTTTGATTTAGTGTAAAATGAGAGAGAAATGAAAAACGACTTTTAGTCGTTTTTCATTTTTTGTTTTCGTTTTCTCCTCTCTCAAGCAAAGAGAGAGAGAGACGTTAATGAGTTTTTTTACACTGAAAATAATTTCTTGATAAAACTATCAAACACATTTTTAAAAATGATTTCTGACTGATATTGAAAACGTTTTCGTTTTCATTTTCATACAAAAAATAAAATCATTTTAGAACGAGTTCCAAACGCGCCTTTATGTTTCCCTTTTGGTTAAAACCCAAAGTTTTTCTTTTGGTAAAACTAAAAGCATACTTTTTTCTGTAATCTTCTTAATTAAAAACATGGCGTTTTTATTGAAAAAAACAGCACTTTTCTTTAGTAAACCACTAATAAACATTTTTTAGCAAAACTAATAAACATTTTTTTAGCAAAAAAAACCACTAATAAACATTAGTAAATTAGTAATGAACCAAAATCAATCATCAATTTAAGGATAAACCAATATAGATTATTTCATCAATTAATTTTTTCTTATTCTCTCTCTCTCTCCGTTTTTTTATTTTTTTTGTGCTTTTTTTTTTTTGTATCTTCCTTGTTGCCACCTTCCTTGTGGTTGCCCCACCCCCAGTGGCGTGGCTGCCACGGGCAAATCGGTGCAAGCACTGGGCGGGTCAGCCTATTGTTGAATTTGTATACTTTTTAATTTTTACGTAATTTTATACAAATATGATAGACAAAAAATCTAACTTACCAGTGACTTACCAAAAAAAGTCCCATAAAACAATTCAAAATTAAACTCATATTATTTATATCGGTTCTTTTTTCTCCCTGTGAATGCATTCACATTAACCCACTTTCTACAGATTCTACTTGAAAAGAAAATAATTCTTTCCTTTCCAATGAAATTACTTTGATCTATATGGTTCACTTATGATCTTTCAAGTGACAACAAGACCAAGAACTTTGATCTATTTTATGGTTCACAGTAAGATCTTTCAAGTAGAGAACTTGAGTTCAAAAATAAATTTATGTGAAAAAAAAAAACACTATAATAAAAAAGTTAAATTTAAATTTTTATGAGAGAAAATACTAAAATAAAAAATTTGAATTGTGAAACGAGAGGAGCTCAAATAGTAAGCCAAGTCTCACCACCAGATCACTGAATTTCAGTAAACTCGGCCCCGGGCAGAAGCGAAAAATCTATCAGGCAAGAACACAACTAAGCTAAATAGGAGAACTAGTGTCAACTCCAATTGAGATGAAGACAAAGCACAATATGGGCAGATTAATAATCCATGATAATCATGAATCAGAAATTAAGTTTAACATAGTACAGCCTCCCCGAGAAGCTGCAGAACATGAATGTCTTGTGGTAGCCAAGACAGAGAAACCTTTAGCTGATCAGCCTGTGGTTTTCAGTTTTTTTCTTCAAAATCAAATGAATTTGAAGAATGATATGAACAGGTTACAACAATCACTAAAAGCATTCAAGGGCTGAAACAACTAGGAAATTAATCCATTCCAACCCAGATGTTTCTTTTTAATTTAAATAAATGTTTTTCTTCTTTTTATTTTTTTCTTTTTTCAAGGCCAAACTAGCTTTCTGGACTTGGAGAAAGCGGTTTGGCGAAATCAATGGTTTTCAGGGCTTGCTCCCAACAATAGATGGAGCTGCACCCCTGGTCGTCTTGACGTAGGAAACATAGTCACTATAGCGCATAGTGTACAATGTGCTCTGGTAACGGGTCAGCCTTATCCTCTTCCGGACTGACTCGGTGATGGTCCCGTTGTACCCTGCTTTCCGCATCAACGAGTCGATTGCCTCGATTTTTGTCCAACCTAAAACGGAAGAATTAGATGACATGCGACAACTTATCAGCCAAAAAATTTTACAGACATTACATGAAAGTAGATAATCACTTGGACCCGGAATAAAACCTCCGACTAGCAGCCGATGGAACTTCCGACTATGATTTGAGTTTGAATGTGCTAGTGGATGTGAGCGACTATGAGAATTAGTAAGCAGATTTGCAGTATAACTGCGAGTTAATTGACTCATCAGTGATCACAAAGCGATTTAAAAATCCCATGAAATGATTAAACACGGCTTCTACAACGAATTCCCGACTCTAATTTCATCCCTCAGTGTCAATGACAAGGAAGACAGAACCAGTAAGTGCATAATTTGTGCTAATATTTTGAAAATGCTCATGGTTACTATCATTGACTTGTTGAAAAGGCGGAAACACTTCCATTCCCCACTCTTACACTCCCACTTTACTTCACAAATATTTATACATGCAATGACATTCGCGGTTTTGGTAGGTCATAAAGAGTAGAATGAATTACCTTCATGCGCAGCTACCTCAGGCAAATATGTGGCGCTGCGCCTTGTATTATAATCAGGATCAGTAAACTCAATTATTATACCATGTTTCCCAACCTGCAAAAGGAACGCACAATGGTAAGATACAAGGAAGAAAACTAGACATTATGTACATGAAAGCATAAACTAATAAAGTATCCTATAGGCTATATCTTATGACCATGGTTTCATATGGATTATTACTTAAGTTAAATATGAAGACTGATTCATTGTGAGACTACATAACAATGACGACCACCAACCGCCCGGAGTTCTTAAACTCTAAATGTAGCAATAGAAAAACATGTGAGGAACCAACTATAGAGGAGCTTCAAATTTCAAGTATAAGAATTCCAAGCCCACAGATATAATTGGAGATCTAGCTACTAAAAGCTTAGAAATGGTTACCAGTTAGAATATGTAAGAGAATCCTAAAGTGCCTAAAAGTTGGAAAGATTAAAAGATACATACCTCCCAGTCAAGATGGTTGTTAGCAGTTTCATAATCAGTAAGAATGGACACTGTACACTCCAAAGAAGGCAATTCTTTTGGTTGTATCGGGGGAAACCTACGATCCCTCAAAGCACTGCAAAATATACAAACAAGAAACAGAAATTAAAACAGAAGCTAACTTCATGGGAACCTCAGATAAAGGATGACTGAAAAAGAAATGTAAATTCCTACAAGAAAATAGCAGAAGCAAGGCCCTAAACTGCATGGCATTCAGAATAACGGGGGAACCAAGTTCACAACCAATGTTAAATTAGTTTCATTAGGATATTTTCATCTCTTTTGGCAGAGCTATTATTTGAAAGAATGAGGAGGAGATGACATGCTAGTACAATTAGTGACACTATACCAAACTTAAGTTAACAAACTCATGCTTGGATTGGAATATAGATGATTTAAAGACAATCCTGTAAATAAGTGCGAAATCTAGACCAATACTCCAATTCCTCAAACTAATGTGAATGTGTCAAATATCGCACTCATATGTAAATATATGATTTGAAAGCATTCATACGAATAAATGTCAAATCTAGGCATTCATGCTTAGATTGGAACTTTTGAGTCCACTCACCACCTCATGTTAAACTTAGGTAAGTGAATTTGCATCCAATAGCCAAGAGGTGCTTCTTTACATTTCTTATCTTATCAATTTATTTTTTGCTAGGAGCAGGCAGGAGGTGTAAGATTGGATTGTATTAGTTCATAAATACAATGAAAGGTAAACAGCCATGCCATGACAAAACAGAAAGGATACTAGGAATATACTACACTGTACTTGAAAGTAAAAAAAAAAAAAAAACAAATCCAAAAGCCAGATAATAGTGACAAATGCGATTGTTTCATGGTCCACAATTATGAATAATCCCAAACCAAGACAACTTAAACAACTAATGCAAAATTGAAATGGTATGATGATAAGAATCTTGGCCTCATGTCCTATATATTATTGTGCCCAACTGTAACTCACAGGAAGATTATGCTAAGCTCTCATTCCTTATCCTTTGTTTATATATTTATTGTTTCTTTTCCACAAGGGTCTTCATTTTCCTGAAACAGCAACTGGTTTCAGATACATCAACCATCATTTCTCATTTTGTTGTGCGTGTGGTATGGTCAAAATTCGGAAATAAAACGAAAAAGGAAGTAAGCATGCAGATACATGAACTTCCATGATCTGATCATCCCAATAAGACATAATGATACCTGTTTAGAGCATAATCCTTGAAGCCATTAATCAACCAACGAGCTTCCAGAGTTCCAATACATCCACGCAAACGAGGCTCCCCACCATTCACAGCTTTTTTCCAAGTGACAAACAATGGGCTAAGACGAGTAGAATTATTATCAGATAAGCAGATTAAAGGATTATCGTAGGCAAAATATAAAGCTTTATGTTTTTGTCTTCATGGCTTCTTCCTGAGCCAGAACTCAAGTTAAAAAAGTTGAAATATACACAGTGAAAGATAACCTGAAAAGGCAAAACATATATTGCACTTTGACCGGATACATAAAGTACTAAAGAGTAAAGGGACTGAAGTAAATAAGGCATATAATTAGAAAAAATGAAGAGTTAAACTGAACGCAGACTCGGGCAATGCAGTGACGAAAAAACAATCAAAAGACAAATAAAGAGGATCATATCCCAAATAGTGTAGAAAAGAAAATATGTTGTTATGGAGACAATAAGAACTCAATGTCGTCAGTGGGATAGATGAAACGATATTTGCAAGTGAAAAAAAAATATATATATATATATATATTGTTGTACTTATCAAATTCGCAAAACCCAATGCATTCGAAAGCATAAAATGACATAACCAATAAAATCCCTAGCTTTTCCCTTGAAACAAATTTCTTAAAGAATTGAACAACAAGTAATTTTATTTAAAATGTGAGAGAGAAAAAAAGTGAATATGTAGAAAATTGACATAATTGTCACGTGTTGACAATCTGCCAGCGACAACTAGAGAGCTGTGAATCTGTGATTGTAACAAGAGGACTAAGAGAGCAAGTAAGCACAGCATTTCCAGAAACAACTTTCTTCACAGCCAAAAGAAACGAAGTTTAGAAATTATTGACACGCCCACATTCCTCGCTAGCATTTCCCTTGAAACAAATTTCTTAAAAGGTTAAAGTATTTCTTCAAACCTTATTCAGCTTTTCCATTTCCAAATAGCTTATTGCTTTATTTGACAAAAGAATAACAACCCTTCTTATTACAATATAGCAAAAAGATTAACCAACTAGATTAAGCCTTTCTCATCAAATCTCTAGAAGCAAATTTTCGCTTCCAACTTTTATAGAGTTAGACACCGCCTCTATTCGCCCATCACCCTAAAATTCCTCCTAGAGAGCTAATGTTATTAACAAGAAAAAAAAAAAACCAAAAATGTAAATTTCCACAGAGCTTCAAAAAATATCATGATTCAAGCGAGCCGAGTTAACCTTCACATAGTATAAAGTATTGCTTACATCATTACATTGCATGATTGAAAAAAAACAAAAAACAAAAAACAAAACAAAACAAAACAAAAACAAAAACATTAAACAAAACAAAGAAGAGGATTTATCAAGAAATAAAAAGCCTTGAACTCCCCTAGAAAAAATAAAAAAGCTTTGAACTCTTCTTGCTCTCTCCTTGTTCTTTCCTAGGTACCCACGGAACCCGGTATAGCCAATACAAGACCGAGGGAAAAGTCATCAAAACATGATAAAAACCTCAAAAAATGAAATCCCAATACATGAAATCCAAAATTGTTCAGAACCTTAAAAGGCCACTCAAAACATAGACCTTTTTCTCACAATCCAAACAATTTCAGACGAAACCCAGAAAAAAAAAATTGAAATATTAAAAACGAAAAAGGTTCAAACAATTTGAGCTCAATGAATCATGATCAGTCAAAAGCTGATGTTAAGACATCCAAATTCCACACATGCAAAGAAAGGCACATGAGTAAACATCTATACATGTGTGTGTTACTATATATAGATATATATATATATATATATATATAGAGAGAGAGAGAGAGAGATAGAGAGAGAGATTATTACTGTTGACCATCATCGAAGGCCGGTGGAGGAGCCTCCTCGCTGTTGTAGTAAGCGACGAGGGTATCGAAGCAGAAGACCACCATTTCCTTCTTCGCCGACACCATTTTCGTTTCTTTCTTTTTGGGTTTTCTGAGAATTCTCCAAACTATTTTATTACTACGACAGATCAATTTGATCAGAATTTTGAAGTTTTTTCGAATCAAATTCAATGTAAAGAAAACAAACAAGAAAAAAAATACACAAAAAAGAAGAAAAGAGAGAGGTTGGTTCCTTCGGAGAACAAATAATTGAGGATACAAGAAGAAGAAGCTTTCCTCTCTCTCTCTCTCTCTCTCTCTCTCTCGTGTTTTCCATTCCATTTCTCGTTAAATATACGTGTATATTTGAAAAAAGAAAAAAACACAATTTTTTCATTTCCCATATTACCCATCACTTTTCTTTGTAATTACAACCCAACAAAAAAGCACAATTTCCCTTTCTTTTTGGAGGTGGGGACCTCTTTGGGGATTCCATATGTGTCTTTTTATCTTTATTTATTAATTTAAAGTTATTCTATTTTAGTTTATTTTTCATTTTCTTTGAAATGAGAGAAAAAAAATAACCACATAATTGGGTCTTTTTCTAATTTTAATAGGCACGTTGATAAAAAGAACCCCCTGGCTCCTGCACCTATTTCAAAGAAAGCTGTCTTCCACGAACACTCTCCTAAACTTTTTTGAATTTGATAATTTAGGGGCTATTTTTTGTATTTTTGAGTTAGGGTGATTTGAGTGATGATCTTGAGTTGAGATTGAGTTATAACTTGAGTTTGTGTTTGAATGTGCATATTTGAGTTATAATTTAAATTAAAAATCTTTTTGAGTTTGTATTTGGGTGGATCAAAATTTAAATTTTTATTTAGATAGTTAATAAAAACTCAATGGTGATGAAAAATTTTAATAAGATATATGGTGGGGTTTTATTCGTCTTTTCATTGTGAACGCATAGGAAAAAAAATCATCTCAATCAGAATCAAAACGAAAAAGTTATGGTATTTTTAAGAATGGAAAAAATATTGTTCATTAACTTGAGTTTGAGTTTATGAACTCCAGTTGAAGGGAAAACTTGAGCTCGAGTTTAGCCTCAAACTCGAGTTCAAACTCAAGTTTTATAAAAGAACACGAACTTGAATAAAGGTGTAACTTGAATTCAAACTTTTTCTGAATTTTGTTACAAAAGAACAACCCCTTAGTTTTTAAATTTTTTTCTGACAATTAACACCATGAATTTATAATTTTTGACACTTTCAACCTTGCTGCTTAAATTTATCAAAATTTTGACAGTTTTTTACGCCTAACTTACAAATAATAGCCTAATAAGAGAATTGATGTTCATTTTTGTTTAGTTTCAATATAAATACATTTTAAAATTTGAGCTTAATTTAATTATAACTTAAACTTTATTCTAAATTTTAATATGAAATTTTATTACTACCAAACAAAAATATTATCAATGAGCTCTTCAGGCTATCACTTGTAAGTTTGGTACACAAAAAACCATTAAAATTTTAACGAATTTGAGTATCAATGACTAAAAGTGTCAAAAATTAGAAGTTTTGGAAGTTAATTGCCACATAAAGAGAAAAAAAAAAAAGTTTAAGCACTATATTATCAAATTCAGGTTGTGTTCGTACAAAATAGCCTTTAAAGAATAATTTTACTTGGAAATTATACAATAATAGAATAAAACAGAAGGGTGAATTTACAATATTAGAGTTCATAAGGAGACAAGAATTCCAATAATAGACTATGGAGAGTTATTAGAGATATATGGAGGTTAGGTATGAGGAGCTTTCTAATTTGCATTAAAAACGGTAGCCTCTACAATCTTTCTCAAATATTCCGATCATAAAACAAAATAGCATGGTCAACGACCACTATTTGCTACAATTCATTGCATCACATTTGACTACCAACAAGTATCACGGTAGGATACTATTGGTAGCGAATCAGAAACCACCAATGCTATTATCCGCTACCGCCAGTTGCCAGAATTTTGGTACCGCGACAGAAGCCCCTAAGTCGCATGGCATGTTTGTGGGTTGTGAAGGACGCAAAAAGGAAGCACTAGCAACATTTTGACATTAGAGTTCACGTGGGTTGGCTCGAAAGGCCGACGCAGAGAGAATATTAGCATTAGAAATTTAGAGAGAGAGAGAGAGTCAGAGAGAGGGGGGAATGGGGGAGAGGAGTAATAATGAGATTTCTACAAAACTCAAATGCCCCCGCCAAAGAAGTCGGGCGGGATGTAACCCACCAAGAAAGTCACCCTCTTCTAGCCGGCGATCTGAGCAAGGCCGTTGGCGGGTTTGGCGAAACAACCCTACCTGATGATACACTAAAGATAAACGAAATCGGTTTGTTCTCACTCTCTTAGAAGGACAACTACTTATTGGCAATTCCATACAAGGACACGCATTGATGTATCAGATTTCTAATATGGTAATTAGTATGGCAAATTCACCAACACATAACGAACATGCAGATTCTTCTAAGCCATTTGGATACATGCATTGCAGCGCGCGGTTGACATGCACAATTACCTGGCTTTGTGCCAACATAATACTGATTCCATCGCCATATGCGTTATCTGTTTACCAAAAGACCCTATATTTTCACGTCAGGCTCTCTAAGAAGGGGCGTGGACAGGCTAGTCAATTACACCAGAAGAGCACAACAGAAAAAATTGAAGAACAATCGAATCTCAACAATAACATATCAGAAATAGAAGCATATTGCCTGGTTCTATTGGTTTAGGGATTTCTTCAGTCAGAGTCGGAATCATGTCTCCTCCCTTCTTTTTCTTTCCTGCGCTTCCTCTTGTCCTCTGATGGATGGCGTTTTTTGTGTTTTTCACGTTTTTCGTACTTTTCTCGCTTTTCACGCCTCTCTCGCTTCTCCTGTTTCTTTTCTTCACGCCTCCTTTTCTTTTGACTGCTTTCATCCTCCGACTCCATTTCTTCGGCGTTCCTGGTTGATGGATTGGGCACAGGTGCTGTTGGCATTTCAGGTTGCAAGTCCTTGACAGTGGATTGAAAAGCACTGGATTCTACATGGGGACGATGTGCTCTGCACAGAAAGATCTAATATAAGAAAACAAACAGAAGGATACACGTGATTGACCAAAATACGACAACGAGCTATGTGTATAGTTGTGGGGGCACATGCCCCCACCGAGCAACTAGAAAAGCATATATGTGAGTAGACTTTGAACATGTATCCTACAAATTCCGGTTCTTTTCCCCCTTTCACCGTTCAGTAGTATATCCCATTGAGAAAATTACATATTCTATCTCTTCAAGTACTTGACTTGCTAAAAGTACTTCTTTTAAAAAACTCTACCCCTTGACTAATTCTAGTCTAAAAAGTAGAAATATATGTCTAATATTAAGGGGTAGAAATAAAAAGGAGCTCCATTTTAAGAGGTATTCTTAAAAATTGCCCTATCACATTATATATAATTATTCTCAAGAGTATTTGTTAAGCATATCCTTTTTCAGTTTCAAAATTTCAATTTCTTTTCTTTTTTTTTTGGGTTTACCCCTGCAGGTTACAAGTTTCCTTCCCTTCCTTTTTAATTCGTTGTCAGCCTTGTTTTTCTTCTTTTTTTTTTTTTAAAAAAAAAAAGAAAATTCATCTTCTCTCTTCACTCTTCTCATTCCTTTTCTTGTATGTTTTGTTTTTAATATTCTAGATGCACTAACTATTATTTGGAGCTTTACTTTATTTATTTTTTATTATTTTAGTTATAAGTTTCATCTCTATTTGTGCCTCCACTTAATTCAAATCTTGGCTCCGTCACTGCCAGTATCTACACATAAATTACCTGCAAGAACCTATTCTAAATTTATTAGTTTCTTTCTAGTAACATACCTTGAGAAACCAAGACCATGAACATGTGCTGCCTCAGCATGCCCTTCACCCACATCCTCAGCGGTAGAGCCTCGCTTCACTAGCTCTGAGAACTCGTGTTTATCAAGTCGATTACCTTGATGGCGGTTTGCATGCTTAGGAGCCAAGCCAAGAGCCTCTCGCATAGTCTGCTCTTCCTCTTCCTTAATCCTTTTAATCTCTTCTTTGGCAGCTTCCATGTCTGCACTCATGGAACCCTTTTCCCTGGTATACCAGTGCAGATCTTTCCCTGTCGAATTAGAAATTTTAAAATAGAAATTTCTTCATGAATAATAAACTTCAAAGTAGTCTGCTGTTGAAAATAAAGAAATAAACATCACGTCAAAACGAAACAGATTGAAACTACTTTTTGTAGTAGCTTCACAACCATGAAGCAGTGTCACTAAATCACTATTCAAGTCCAAGGGACTCTCTGAAACTCTAGACAGGAGGGGGTGGGAGAGAGAAGTCAAAGTTCAGTACATTCGAACTCAATGTTCCAAAAAATATGAAGCGCAAAAACCAAAGAATAAAACAACACGAAAAAGAAAAGAGAAATAACTCCATTTGAAGGGGTTTGTGCATAGATGGCCAGTTTAGCGGCCCACTTTTAAGTAGGTGACCTTTGTTTTCTAAAATTAATGATGTAGCCGGTTTTAAAATTTTAGGAATGAAATGACAAAAAAAATCCTTTATATTAATTGATTGTATTCAGCAATCAAACCCTAGCCCAAAGCCCAAATTCAGTCCAAAACCCTAGCTTCCCTTATTTTCTCCTCTCTCCACTGCTGCTGCCCATTCATTCCTCCATTACCAGCGACAATGGTGACAACCTTAATCTCACTGGAAAGTTTCCTCCCACCTTCCATGTCTGATGTCTCTCTTCCTCTATTTCTCTCTCTCTCCCCGAGCCATTTCTTTCTCTCTCCCCCAGATCCGGTTCTTTCTTCTCCAGAGCTCATGCCGGAGCTTGAGCAACTCTGTCGGAAAAAATCACCGTTCTTAGTGTGACGTTGAAGGGGAAGAATGGGCAAAAGCGGAATTCTTGGGAAACAAAAAATAAAAATCGGCCACTCTCCTAATTTTTGAAGCCTCCGGCCATAGTTTACAGTGGGTGCCAGAAATCAGCCACCCACACTAATTTCCCCATTTTATTTTAAATACAGTTCAAGATCAGTATCTCCTCCAGAGTAAAACAATAAACTTAAAATGAAGAAAATGAAAAGAAAGAGAGTCACCTTTCTGCCATCTTCCAACCGAAGCCTTGATACTGTGACCAATATAGTTTTCTCTATGCTTATCAACTTTCACATCATCCCAACTAAATTCTGTACATCACCAAAAGAGCAGCAAGAAATTAAACGTAACACCAAAACAAAACAAAACAAAATGTATCCAAATTAGTTCCATATGCAAATAAACAAGTATTGTTGAAACAGGGTTTCACAAATTTAGAGACGAACCTAAACATATAACTCCTATGACTACCAATTAAACAATTCAAGCAACTCTAACGATAATCTCCAGCATATGTGATTCTAAATTTCTAAACCCCCGCGTCAAACTCAACGAGCACATTTCAGCATTTAGTTTTTCTTGAATTTGCAACATATCCAGATTTCCAAAACAAGCAGGTAAAAAAATGAAAGCCCCGTATGCAGTGAACTGGAAAGAAACATTTTTCGCCACGGAATCTGAAAATCTCAGCTCTGAATGCGTATTTCAGAAGCAAAAATTGTCATAACCAGACATTACAGATGGAAAAAAGAAAAAAAGAAAAGAATTGTAAGCAAAATAATTTCAATACCTCGCAAAACTACTTCTAAACTAAGTCCCAAATTCAGTAGTTCAATCCTTCATTAAATTCAACTAGCAAAAATTCCAAAACGTATTCAACGCCCATGCGAATTCAAAGAACAAATTCATCATTAAATTTTAAACAATTCTAGAAATTTCCACCTTAACTTAAGAAATGATGTGATGAATCGTACTAATGTTTGTATGATTTTCTCTGAAGATCAAGATATTCAAGAGAATTACATCCAACAAAAACAAGAGAAAATAAAAACCCTAAAAAAAAGAAAGAGAGAAAGAGAGCTTACGATCTCGGCCACCACGAACACCGCCTCGAGTAGGATGATACATTTTGTTGAATGCGAATGTGAAAGTCTAATATCTTCAATCTTTCACCACCAAAACGCCCTTCTTTATCTTTCTCCGCCTTGTGATTTTTGGCTCTGCGATGCGAATATACACCGGCGGCTTTGCCTGGATCCTAAAAATCCTTTTTGTGTGTTTTGATTTTTGATTTTTATTTTTTACAAGTGAAAGTGATTTATTTAAATGGGTTAATTACAAAAAAACTCTCGATGAAATCATGAAATATATAACATTTTCTTTTTTAACGTAATATTCGTTCGTCTCGAATAATAAAATATTAATAAAAAAATTTTGTGATAGATTTTTTAAAAAAAATTAACATGTAATTTGTTATTTTTAGTATTTTTATAGTTGCGTGGTTTGAATTTTAAAATTAATTAAAATCTCATTCATTTCACTGATTTGAGTTTAGAATTCAAGTTTTGCTACAGTAAAAAGCTATCAGAAACAATCACATTTAACTTTTTTACTACAGTAAAAAGCTCTCACACAACATCACATCTCAACTCGAATTAAAAGCTCAAATTAGCGAACTGAACGGGCCTTAAAACTTGAATTTTTAATTATGATATATATTATTGATTTAATGTAAGTTAAAAAATTTATATATTTTTTTTGGTAGAATAAAAAAAAAGTTATGATTTTTTTTAATATTTAAACTTGTTTAAACTAAAATTAAATTTAAATCATAAAATTATCGAAATATCTTTAAAATAGTAAATAAAATGTCAATTTCAGTTTAAAACTTAATGGAATGGGTTTTTTATTAACATTTTATTGTTTAGGAGAACAGATATTACGTTTTAAATATCAAAAGAAAAAGTGTTATAATTAGTATAATTTAGAAGAAATTTTTGTAATTAATCATGTTTAAATTAAAGATTATACAAGTCCTAAAAAAATATTAAAAAATAGACATAAAAGTGGTATAAAAGAAGGAAATAGTAGAAAATATGCCAATATGAAAACCTTAAGAAAGTATATAGGCCAATTTTTAGTTATAAAAATTAATAGGCCATAACTTATCAAGTTATGGTTCATAACCAGATAAGTTATGGACAAACTTGTCAAGTTATGGTTCATAGCCAGACAAGTTATGGACAAAAATCGTGAATAACTTGTCAAGTTATGGTTCATAACCAGACAAGTTATGGACGAAAACAATAATTTGGCCTATTTATTAACTTATGTAAACTATTGGCCTATTAATTTTAATTCATCTCAAGTCTTCGTCTATTTTCCTATTTCTCCCTATAAAAGATCTAAAAACAAAACTTAAGAAAAAAAGTGTGAAAAGTATTTTGTGAGTGATGGGGAATATCATTTTTTTTAAAATAGGTGAATCATCGGTACTATTAATAAAAAGAGTTAGCTTTTGTTTGGTTGGGGGATTCGTACCCCGATTCGAATCATGGTTCGTGGTTCACTACAGTTTTTTCTCTCATAAAAAATACACATAAATGAAAAATAATTCTAATTTTATTATTCTAATTCATAAACCAAACATCTCCTTAATCTTATAAATGGTCCATGAGATTTAGTCTTAATGAGACTTTACCAAATTCAAAGTTGTAAATATTGTAGTAAAGTATTTATAGGTAAATACTTTATTAATTACAATTTTGAATACCGATTCTAAATATAAACATAGACAAATGCAAAACCAAATTTCACAAAAATTCTAAAAATTTCAAAAATTCTCGAATCTCAATCACAAACACAATCCCATATCACAAACTCAGCTTAAAAAAATAAATAAAAAGCCACTGACATGCAAACACAATCACAATCATAAACTCATCAAAAATCATTCGACCTCAAGGTTGTCATCCACAACATCACTTGAGCTTTGATTTGATCAGATCCGGCACCCACTCCGTGTTGGTTACCAAATCGAATTTAGATGCGGAAGCGTGGATGAGGCGGATTGTGTATAACAAAAAGTTTCATAAAACTTTTGAGATACTCTATAGATTATATTAATTTATGCACGAATAAATTAATCTCATTAATTGATTTGTTAAGAACTCAATTTGGAATTATACCTGGCGGCCGATTGGAATGATAACTTGAGTTCTTTGACCTCGAACAATCATTGCTCTAAAACGTTGTGTTTAGAAAATCAATGTCTTCCACGTCAATTTTTAAAATCCACGAAGACGTGTGTGTTGGCACACCTGAGACAAAACGGATTACAATAAACACTCGAATTTTCACAAACACCAACGCATGCACAATGTGGAATTTTTGGAGAAAAATTTTTCCTCACTCTATGAGAATTTCGGCCACCCTCTAAGATTAGGGCACAAAATTGTTTCAAAAATTATCACACAATTTTCTATCATTCTCTTATTTATAGAGTAGAAGTCAAACTTCTAGAAGGAATCCAATCTCTATCTCCAAGATAAAGCTTGTTAATTATCTCCTTTCTGAATTTAAAACAAAATCTCCCATTCCCTTATCCTTAGTGTGGCCGGCCACCTTAGGAAATTCTCATCCCTTTGTGGCGCCAATTTGTAGATAGGGAAGGAAGAAAAAATCATCATTTATCCTATAGTCCAATTTTGACTCAAATTCAAATTCTAATTTAAGTCAAACTTAAATTAATTTATATTCTAAATTGAACAACTTGTCAAATAAGTTTAAATGGATAAATCTAGATGTGTTCAAATTTAAATTTAAATAATCACATTATTTAAATAATAATTAATTCTCAATTAATTATTTTTTAGTGTTTAATTTTAAAATTCTAAAATTTTCAGTTTGCCCTTTTATGTCTAATAGAATTATTAGGACGACGCGGGGACTAATGGACCTATAATCCCAAGCTCTAATAAAATTAATAATTAATTAAACACTTTAATTAATTAATTCTAATAATTACTCCACTATAAACTTGGAATTGCACTCTTGAAATTATAAACATAAATTACTTCTAAACTGTGAAGTGTCAATTCGATATAGTCACTGCATATAGATCAATCCTCCATAAATAATTCATAATTAGAGCAAGGTAAAATCCGTTAACCTCTCTAATTACATATTATCCTTGAGTAACATTGATTCTCTAATGGACAGTGATTCATAAAACACATTCATGAATCGGAGCTCCTACTGGTCCAAGTACCGAATCAACCCTCAAGAGAATTATTTATCTACTTATTTCTCAAGAATGAATGGATTCCATCTCGTATAATAATATTTCCGGCTACTTACTTCATAATGTCTCCAAAATACAAGGAATGAGATTTAGGATCTCAGAATCCGTACCGAGTAAATCAAAAGACACAAATCCATAAATATAAGTTTGTTAAGAACCCAGGATTAAGACCATTCTATATATGACCATCGGTAGACTCAATTAGAATTTCTATACTTAACAAAAATTATTAGAAATTCATATTGTGTCTGTGTCCTTGTTCCACATAATCTCATTATGCGAAATACACTCATTCAATATCTCACCATATTAACAGTGCAGATAACACCGTTCCATTCTAAATGGGAATGACATGTATTAATAATGTTTTAATTAAAGATTTCAAACTTTAATTAAATTCATTATGAACAATATTTGTTATTATTATCCTTAAACATTATCCTCTCAGATATAACACTTATATACAATATTTAAGGTCACATAAATAATCATGAAATTTTCATTGATATTCATAAAATATTCACAAATATATACACATAAAAATGATGAATAAACTATTTTATTAAATAAATAATAAATATCCTATTACATCTTATGCTTCTAGGACTCCATTCCCAACACTACGAAATCCAGCGCCACCTTAGACCTTCGACCATAGCAGATCGCGACATAAATCAAGGACCTCCGTCCTCAAACTCGATCTCTATAACACGAAGCACACTATCTGAATCAAATCGTCGCAATCAAAGTCCGACGAGATCAGTTGAACCAGATCGGTGACTACCCAATCTATGCAACTCATTGAACTAGATTTGCTCAATAATGATCGAATATCGCAATCTCTGATCTGAAAACCATATCAGAGAGAATGGCGAAGTAGAGAGGGTCACAGAGGAGAAAGGGACTCGCAGAGGAGAGAAGGACTTGTGGAGGAGAAAGGGTCGCATAGGAGAGAAACTAGCAAAGGATAGAGGGTCTCAGAGGAGAGAGAGAGAGAGAGAGAGTCGCAATGGAGGGATAGTCGCAGTGGAGAAAGAGTTGCGGAGGAGAGAGAGAGTCACAGAGGAGAGAGAGAGTCGCGGAGGGGGCTGAGGAGAGAGAGTCACCAAGGGGAAGAGAGAGAGAGAAAGAGGTCATGAGAGTAGAGAAAGAGAGAATTGGAAGAGAAAAGAGAAAGGGACAAAATCTTAAGGTTAAATTTGGAAAATAAATTATTTAAAATTAATGATATGCTATAATTTACTAAGTTTGATATATTAAGTTATTTGTTTCAAAAGTACCTATAAAATATCTTATATCCTGTATTTTTCTTAATTATAATATATTTTTCTTGGAAAATAACTTCTTACCGGATCGTCTTTCTAAAAAAAAATGTCGAAACGAAGGAATTGAAAAATAAAAAACAAAATACTTTAAAATGAAAAACGAAAGAAATATAAGAAAATGAAAATTGAAGAAAGACAGAAGGGGAAGGGAGAACGAAAATAGACTAGACACTATACATTTTGATTCATTAATTTGTATATTACAAAAAATACTCATCCTATTTATAGGGGAAGAAATATCAAGAAAAAAAGGAAAACTAATACAAAGGGGGAAGTAACCAAATTGACAACTATCACCTAATTTACTTCTAATTGATCTTTAATTGACAACCACAAAATTTTTAAGTATAGAAAGAAATCATAAGAATCGACGTAACAAATCTTCAACAATAGGTCTCCAAACTATAACTTGACCGGTAAAAGAACTTTAATCGCCAATCTTCAACAACACCATCAGAAATTTCATCATAAAAAAAATACCGACCAACTTTTGTGGCTTCTATAGGTGAGAAATACTTGGCTAAATTTAGGTTAATAGTCTTTGTGGTATCTAAAAATCAATCAAAAAGTATTTTCAACTTTTTTTTCTCTTTCCAAACGAACTCAAAATACAATAAATGCCCGTTTACTTCGTTGATTCGAGTTGAGATGTGATTTTATTTGAGAGCTTTTTATTATAGTAAAAAAATTAAATGTGATTGTTTTTGAAAGCTTTTACTGTAGTAAAACTCAAATTCTAAATTTGAATCGGTGAAATAAATAGGCCTAAATATGATTTGAAAAATCAACTAAATTGAAATCCCTTTAGTAAATTTATGTATTTCATTTTTTTATTTCAACGAGTCTCCCCTTTTTTGAGGATCTTATCTCCGTTAGCTGATTTTATGTAAATTTATGATTGAAATCTCTTTTTTTTTATCTGTCAACCCTCGTGAAAGACTCTGAGGGTCCGTTTAGTTCGTTGATTCGAGTTTTTAATTTTAATTGATATGTGATTTTATATGAGAGTTTTTTACTGTAGTAAAAAAGTTAGATGTGACTGTTTCTGATAGCTTTTACTGTAGCAAAACTCAAAATATAAACTCAAATTCTAAACTTAAATTGATAAAATAAACGATACCTGATTTTCTGTTGGGATCTTATCTCCGTTAGCTGGTTCACACTGGATATCATAGCCAAAGGGGATGTTTGATCGGCGTTTGGGTTTCAATTCCAGATCTGGGTTTGAGTTTTCAACCCAGATTTCAAATTCAAAGTCTAATTAAAAAGGAAAATATATATATTATATAATTTATATATATATTTCTAATTTCCTACTGGACACCACAATCCACGTAGGGTTATTCAGGCATCAATCTATAGGTTACATTTAAAAAAGCAATACTGAATGGGATTAAGCTCTACACCGCACGATTTCCATCGAACGCTTAATAAATATTAGTAAACCGGTAGGACAGAATAGGGAGGCATACCAGAGAAGTACCCAAATAAAAAATAAAAAATATACAACCCGCCTTGGACCCGAATAGGCCTTTTTAAAGGACGAAACATCTAGGGCATTTTGACCCGACTGTTACACAGACCTTAGTCGATTCTTCCAGTAGAAAGCGAAAGGGAGAAGAGAGACAGCACAAAATGGCGATGAGATCAGTGGTGAGACGAGTTGGTATTTTGACTCGGTCCATGGAGACGACTCGGGGAGCTACTCGTTACTTGAGCGATGGCAAGGGCAGGATTCTCAGCGAGGAGGAACGCGCTGCTGAGAACGTTTACATCCAGGTCTCTCTCTCTCTCTCTGTTTGTTTCCCGAGAAAATAACAAAAGAAAAAACTGAAAGAGCTTATTTTAATGTTTTCTTTGAATGATCGTGTATGTATCTGTGAAGAAAATGGAGAGGGAGAGGTCGGAGAAACTGAAGCAGAAAGCTGAAAAGGAAAAGGCCCAAAAGGAGAAGGAAAATGCTGACAAGGTAAATCGATTCTTGAAATATAAGGTCAAGTTTTTCATTAAGTTTCTTGAAATCTCTATTTTAGGAATATTATCCAGTAAAATACATTTCCTTGCTTTTCACTAAAAAATGAGGTTGAGAAAGTTCCTTTTTCCAACAAAATTTAGCTGTTTAATTTGTGGGCTTGTTCTGCCCTTCTTAGTAATATATTTTTTGCATGAGATTAGATGCGTTATGGATGCAAGTTTACTTCTTTTATGCAATTTTGTACAATATAATTTACCTAAGAACTTTGTTTTGTTATTAAGTTCAACATTTTAGTTCTTTTAAGCAATTTGGATTTGGATTCAGTAGAGCACTGCGTTCTCGTAACTCTTAGTTGTGCTGTGCAATTTTGCTCTGTTTCTCTTTTTCATTTATTGATGCAACTTGATGAAAGTTGAATTGCTATAGCAAAATTTGTGGTTCAAAGCCGCTAAACAAACGGCTCATAAAGTTGTACAGAATCCTATGAACACTCCCTAAAAAAAAAAAAAATCCTATTAACACTTTACAGCACATGTAATGTGATTTAAAAGCTTTAGGGTCCGTTTCGTTCACGCGTTTAAGTTAGTGAGGCGGGAGTATTGTAGGAGAAGAAATTTCTGAATTTAAATTCTTTGTGAGATGACAAATATTGTAGTAGAATCATGAGTTCAACAAGTATAGGAACCAAACGGGGCCTTTAACGATACTCTCCTGTAACCATACATTCTCATTGCATATGGAAGGTGCTGCATTTCCACTCTTTTATTTATACCAAATGGACTTTGTGAATTTTGGACATCAGCTCGAGTACTGACACCATTGTAAAAGAATCTCTATCCAATTTGTTTATCCATTTCAACTGCTCAAGGACTATAGGGCAATGTGTGAAGCAAATTGTATTATTGTTTACATCAGTCATCAGTCATATTTTCAGTGTATATTATTGCTGAGTTCCTGGTTTTGCTTTGATGCTTCAAATCGATTTGTTTACCTGGTCATCTCTCCTTTTGCAGAAACCTGAGGGGACTCATTGAGGCTAAAATGCTCATCATCCTACTAGCCGGTGAGATTGTAAAGAATAAAACTTGTACATGGTTTTAGCTCTTACCGAGACTAAGACTGCTTCTCATGCATTGAGTGTGGTTGTTTGGTTTTTAGTCTGACAAAACTGTTGTATTCACTCTTTTGATGTACTAAAGGTGTTTCTGTTGGATTGAAATTTTGGTCAAGTCTTGATATACCACTTGCGCCTGTCATGAAATTCTTGCGCTTCAGTTCGACTTCTTCTGCAAAGGGTTGTAGGGTTCCCATATTTTCATTCGGAAGAACTTAAATGGTGCGTGTTTATTTATTTGATAAAACGGACCAAAGAAGGGAAAAGAAAATTCTTAATAGGAATTAGGGAGGTAAAGGGTACTAAATTCCAGAGTCAAATTTATTTAAAAGGTATATTTTTCTTTCTAGGTTAAATATGAAGGGAAAAACAGAATACAGCCATAACATTATCTTGAAAAGTAGTGAACTATGGTTCATAACAAAAACTATAGAATGTGTAATTTTTTTTTTTTTGACAAATAAAACTATAGAATGTGTAATTTTTTTTTTTTTGACAAATAAAACTATAGAATGTGTAATTGTGTATTGCATATCACACACAAAATTAGCTTGTAATATAACCCTCTTTTCTTTTCCCCTCTCTCTCTCTCTCTCCCTTTTTTTTTTTTTTTTTTGATACGGGGACCATGGATTTAAACTCTACGTTAATTTCTTGTGGAAAACACAGCAAACATTGTTAGTTTTCTGATCAACTGACTAGTCACATGCTTGAAAGGATTGTATAAAAAAACTATAATCAAATTTGTAAAAATTGTTATCGTTAAAATGGTGTTTAACATTTCTTGAACAAGAAAATAAGAACTGGAGATAGTGGTCTGTTCAGCATCTGAAACTTGCAGCAGATCCAATTGTCAACTGATAATTCAGAAGAAAATTCTTGCACAGTCTCCAATTCTTGGCTGGACAGCAAGAATAGAATGAAGAATATAAATATACAAAGCACAAAGACATTAGATTAAATCATCAAATCTGCTAATAAAACCAAAGCCATCATCTTAAAACTTCTGCAATGGATGAACCAGAACAGGCAAGTTAATGAAAAAGCAAGAACGGAAACAAAAGCAGAGCAATAAAAACAGAAATAATCCAGCAGATAAGGATTACCATCCACCAGGATGCCCCACATAAACGACTAAGCTGATTAATCCTCCAGGCATTAGGATATTCTTTGCAACTTTCAGTGCTTCGAGTGTCGTTTGTGGCTCGGTGATCACCGTTTTATCACCACCAGGAAGGTAGCCTAGGTTGAAAGCAACAAGCCTGAAAATTCCCAGAACATCAAAATTTATTTTCTTTCCTACAATGAGTAGCATAGGAGTAATAGAATCTGCAAAAAATGTGGTCAAGCATTCAAAATTTTTGGCCCCATTGTTCATCTCTTATGTTACAGACTAGATTCTTTAAGAAATTCAAATACTCTTTAGCCTCATTCATTTTACCGATTCGAGTTTTCAATTTTAAGTTTTTATAGTTAAAATTTCTCAGAAAATGTCACCTCTAACTTTTTTTGCTACAGTTAAAAACTCTCAGAAAATATCACATCTCAGCTCGAATTGAAAACTCGAATCGGCGAAGCGAACAAAGCCTTTATATACTCTTTATTTGTTCTAAGACTTGTCAATGTTGATGAGTGCCTCCCACTCTCGTTAAAGCAATCAGAATGATAGGGATAAAAAATCTTATTCCATTTACAAGTTCCTTCAATATTAGGTATCTGCGAAACTGTAGCTTCTCGATATTCTTAGCATACAAGTCTTGATTTAATGCTTTATGCTGGGTAAACTTGTTTGTTCAACTTAGACAAGAAATATTGTAAAAAAAGAAGTTTCGGGGAAGGAAGAGAGAAAGTTGGAGAGAAAGGGTGAAATGCAAAAACAATTTATGTTTTGAGAAATATATACATATATATTTATATATGTGTATATATATATATAAATTCAAAATGTGACTTAGCATCTAGGAATTCTAGTAGCCAGTACCTCACCAAAATATCTCCCGGAAGAACTTCTGCCATTTTACTATGACACTTGTGGAAGAGCTTAACAAGTTCTTTCTGCAGATAAATGAAACTCAGAAGCATTAGCCTACAAATTTATTATGGGCTCAATATCATAAATTATAAAGGATCAGTATTGCACTAAGTTCCACTCCTGTGAACCTGAATGCAATAGCAATTAGCAATAAGAAAAATAGTTTTTATTTTGAAAATCTGAATCGGTCATAAAATCATACATCCCTCATTCAAATATCATATAGATAAATTAAAGTCTATGTTCATGAACATGTTTATTTACAGAAATGTTCTTGAACACGATGACAAAACATACTGAGTACACAAGAACAAACAAAGGTAAAGTCTACCAATTTATCCGATCATCTCAACATAACATAGAACTAAAACTATATCAGCATATGTGTGTGTGTGTGTGTGTAATCAAGTTCATAATCATGCCTTATTAAGCTTACTGTATGTTGTCCATTTAATTTCAAGTAATTATATTTTTTAAGCATTTGACAGTAAAACTTGCCCACTTTAAGGTGTGATTGAAATCCAATATGTGATAACTAATACTAAATAACTGAGTAAGATTCGACATCACTTCTCCACAGAATATAGTGTATTAGATAAAAAAATAAAAAAATAAAGAAATAAAAAAACTTCTATCTTAGAGAGGGGAAAGGAAAAAGTGTCCGCAATAAGGTTACCTCATTTGAACTGACTGACTGTTCCAGCAAAGAAGATGTGCTCTCCAAAGCAGCTTTCTGAACATCCAAACCATAAACACGACCCTGATGAGATTCATCAGCAACCATTTTTAGCAATGTTAAGGTATCATAACCATTGCCACAAGTTGCATCAATGACTGTATCTCCTTTCCGGACCACTCGCTCCCATACCCTGTGAAGGAACGTAAACATCATGATCAAAAGTAAGTGGATAGAAAATTATGACTCAGAATTTGTCAATGAAACAAGATAAAGTCCTTCTCATCTTCATGGAAGCGGCTGTGTTTGAAGTGGGTTTTGTTTTTGTTTTTCACGTTTTTTGAGAAAGAAAAAATAAAATGGGAGAGAAACGGCGTTTGACACAATTAAGGAAAAAAACCGGAAATGAAAACAATTTTTTAATTTAGTGTAAAATGGGAGAGAAATGAAAAACGACTTTTAGTCGTTTTTCATTTTTTGTTTCCGTTTTCTCCTCTCTCGAGCACAGAGAGATTAATGGATTTTTTTATACTGAAAACAATCTCTTGATAAAACTACCAAACGCATTTTTAAAAATGATTTTTGACTGAGATTAAAAATATTTTCATTTCCATTTTCATACAAAAAACAAAATCATTTTGAAACGAGTTTCAAACGCCCCTCCAAGTCTTAAGTAAATGAGAGACAAAAACAAACTCTTTCAATTCGCAATTGCAATGTTCTTGTGAACAAAGTAGCCATAACACAGTCCTCAACTTTCTAGTGCAGCAAAAGAAGATAGAGCGTCTTTTTTTTCTTTTTTTTTTAATTAGTGCACATGAAAATAAAGAAATATAAAACACAGGGTATTTGACATATCTGCCTCATGAACTTTTCACAACTGGCAAGTTACCCTAATCCTTTTGTTTTGGCAAATCATCCTCCGAATTTAATCGAGTGTTGCAAAGTGTCCTCAAATCAATGAAGGCCGACGAAATTTAGATGTAAACGCCGTCGACTTGTGTGAAGTGATAGACTGAAATTTCGAGTGACGATCATAGCAATTTCCTTATAAATTTTAACACGAATCTTTAAATTCAAAAATAATTTGCTATAATTAAAAGTTCATAAAGCAACTTGCCAATTCAATCAAAGTTCTGGAAGTGAAAAGCACAAAATAACTCGGAAACAAAAACACGGTACATTTTACTTACCTGTGAGCAACTTCAGTGGCCTTCTTCTTGCCAAAGACGTAGCTCGCCAAAACATCCTCAACTCCTAAACATATCATTCATATCAGAATTCTCAAACAAAAGACGTAATGGATCATTTGTAGTTTCCATGAATGGGCTCAGATATCTACAATGAAAACAAATGCCAACAACCCATTTCTTCAATCTTAATTCAACATCAGAAGCATAAAAGAAAGACAAGTTTTTGAGGAGCCCCAAAGTCAAACTGCGTTGTAAGTTATAACCATTCACGACTCTTCTGCTCAGTAAATCACACAAAAAAAAAAAAAAAAAAAAGGAAAACGGTTACCAGAAAGAGGAGATTCTTCTGGAGTGGAATCCGATGCTAAAGGAAGACTGGTTTGAGAAGTGGAAAGGGCGGAAGTTCCCGAAACGTTTCTTTGAAAAGAGTAGGTATAGCAAGAACAAAGCCTTCTGTTTGTGGGGATACCGTAAGAAACGTTTCTTGGGTAGAAAAATAGGAGTTTCTCTGTAGAGCTCGATAACAGAGATTTTTGCATTCCCGAGATAACTCCGAGGGACAACATTTTCCTTCCCTACGACAGTTTATCGGTCTTTTTTTCTGTGGCCTCAAAAGGTGGAAGAAGCAGCTTTGAATAGATAACGACGTCGTCTCGGGTGTGTTTTACTGTTTTTATGTGTAAAAACTGTTATTTTGTTTAGTTAAAGAGAAAAAAAAATATTTTAAAAAAAAATTAGAAATTGGAAAGTATAAATTAGAAGGATGTTGGTTTATTAAGATTAATAAATTATGTACTAAGATCAATCCATAATGAGATTTCTACACCGAAATCCCTATAGTTTATACTTTTAAAACGTTATCATAATTATATGTTTTACGTACGACCTCGTTCTTTTCGCTGATTCGAGTTTAGAATTCGAGTTGAGATGTGATTTTATGTGAGAGCTTTTTACTGTAGCAAAAAAGTTAGATGTGACTGTTTATGAAAACTTTTTCCTGTAGCAAAACTCAAATTCTAAACTCGAATTAACGAAACGAACGAGGCCATTTTAATTTAATTTTGATTAGATCTACTAAATATAAATAGAAATTATGAATAGGATAAGAGATCTTATACCCTTAAAATAATCAATTGAAATTCATTAAATTTTAAAATTTGAAATCTAGAACAGGAGATGCGGACAAACAAATTTGGAGTTGAACATAATGTCGCATTCAAAAAGTCTATTCAAATAGATTTGAACCAGATATTCCGGTACTGTTACACAGGCAACCTTTTGAATACAAGCGTGTAAATGGGCAAAAAAAGATAGAGACACTCATAGGTAAAACTTTCCAACATTTAACGCCCAAATTTAACTTTCCAGGAGTAAAATTATTGGACAGCACTTGCCACTTTAAATGAATACCTTAAAAAAAATCTGAAATAAAAATATTGTATTTGAAACTCGTTTCAAAATAATTTTATTTTTTATATAAAAATAAAAATAAAAATATTTTCAATAGCAAACAGAAATCATTTTTAAAAATGTATTTAGTAATTTTATCAATATATTGTTTTCATTAATCTCCATTTTTCGAGAGAGGAGAAAATGAAAATAAAAAATGAAAAACGACTAAAAGTCATTTTTCATTTCTCTCTCATTTTACATTAGACTAAAAAATCATTTTTATTTTTATTTTTTATCTGTAATTATACCAAACGTCGTTTTTATCTCGTTTTTATTTTTTCTTTCTCCAAAAACATAAAAAAAACAAAAGCAAAACCAACTCCAAAACGGCCAAAGCCTTTGTTACTAGATGAATACAAGTTATACAACTGCTGAATGTACTTGCCAAGTCGCCTTAAACATCTCATTAGTAATAAATAATAATAATAATAATAAGAGAGCAAAATGGATGATTGTAACTTGTAGAGAAAAGGTCGAGAGATCTTTCAAGAGGATATCTGAGCCAAAACAAAACGAGCTTTTCCACAAAAGTAAGCAAATGGGCAAAAAGATATAAAGAATTACTATGGCTTTTCAATTAATCGATTACGACACCTGCACATAACCAGACGACCTAAAACTGATGTATCCAATACTTCACAAATGACTAAGAAAAAAGACAATAATCTAAGCTGCCAAATCCTAATCGCCTAAATACACTGAATATACAGATTGGACTATCCAAATGCAAGGCATTGCTCTGTCTATCATATATATATATATATATATACACAAGAGTATACTAATTGTTGCAAATTGTAATGCATTTTTCACATGGGAAAACCATAAGTCTGGTATCCCAAAGGACCACCCTGATTAGGCATAAGGCTTTGTGCTTGTGGGTGGTTCATCAACATTGGCATCTGCTGAGGTGGTGGATTAGCAGCAGGTGGCTGAATGAAGTTCTTTTGATCAGCGGACGGGGCCGCATGAACCGCGTTGGAATCAACAGTCGTGATGTCATGGATGCTTGATCTCTTCCTTTCCTTCTTCGCAGCACCTTGGCGAATGTAGTACTTCTGGGCATGGCTTGCCACTTGAGTTGGCGTCCTTGTGATTACCACGTTCCTTGAAATGCTCCTCCAATCACCCTTGCCATATTGTTGAAGTCCCTTTAGAAATAATCTGATGCATAAGGAAAAATATAAAAAATTAGTCGATTTTCTCACCAAAAAAAGGTGTCGTTAGACGTGTAATAGAGAAAGATATAATGTAATTGTAATGTCAAACCTGCAAAAGATTACCAAGGAAAAAGAAAATAAATACTCAATTAGTTGAACGACCAAAACGGCTTCAAAAGAAAAAGTTCAAGAAATTCCAAACAAATTCCTTAAAATTCTTGGATATAAATCTACAAATTTTGCCCCAAAGAAAAAAGAAAAAAAGAACCGGATAAGGTTAATGGGTTGCAACCAGAGAAAATCTTTGACCAAATTTACCAGACAGTTGAAAATTTTCAATAAATTTAGATAAATAAAATCCTCGAACAACAAAATTCTACTGGCTTACCCAGAACACCATAACCGTGCTAAAGCCCTTGTTTTTGCATATCTTTTTATAAATTAAAAATATATATATCGAACTTTAGCAAAGCTAGGCATCCATCTATCTAAACTACTAAAAGAGAACTTATCACCTCAGCATATTATCCATAAACTGTTATTGCCCTTGAATTATTGAAGACTTCAGACAAAATTTATCCAAAAAAAAACAAAAAAACAAAAAAAAAATTCCAATGGGCGCCAATAAAACACACCAAAAGAAAAATCCTGGAAAATGTCACGAAGAAGCGTTACAACAACGTTTTAGATATTCAATCTCAATGTCTGTCTTTCTTTTTGTTTTCTTTTTTTTTTTTTAAGAAAAGAGCTACCAGCAGAAAATAGGAAAAAAAATAAACAATCTCAACTTCCAAGCCAAACAAGGTTTCTTCAGCTGAAAAGAAAAGGGGAAAAAAACAAAATTAAAAAAAAAAGTACGGACTCCATTTCTTCTCTATTTTCCCCAATTACCAGAATTTTTTTTTAATTTAAAAGTGCATATTTTTTAAGAGGAAAAATTGAAGAGTCAGAAAACAAGCTGAATTTCCGAAGAACTGAAAGACAATCGCCATAAACAGACAAAAGAGAATTCAAAACAAGGAGAAAATCAAGAAGAAATTGAAGAAAATTACTTGTGTTCTTGTTCAGTCCAAGGCGTCCCCTTCTTTCTCTCGGGCTCCTGCTTGGGCTTCGCCACCCCAAACGAGATCTGATTGGCCGAGTCCCAGCCGCCGCGTCGCGGACTCAGCGCCGAGTCATCGGCGTAACTCGGAAGCTCGACTCGGCCGGCGTCGATCTCACCGACGTCGTGGACGAGGTCGTGGTAGTGCATCGCCACGTCGGCGGCTGACTTGCCGGGGAGGCGGAGGGCGATCATCGCCCAGCGATCGGGGGCGCCGTCGGGGATGCTCACCAGCGCCTGCTCGAACAGCTTGTCCTCCTCGCGAGTCCACCCAGTCGACGCGGACTGAGTTGACACACCGAGTGCCCAGCACGGATCGTCTTGGAACATCTTCGTTTTCGTTGTCGTTGTTTCTGTCAAAGTGTTTTTTTTTTTTTTTGTGTAGGTTTGGTTTTTTCTCTTCTGACTGAGGATTTCGCGTTTTGAGGGTTTGGTGGGAGATTTCGATTGCTTTGGACTCTATATTTATACACACGTATATATATATAGAGAGAGAGAGAGCGCGACAGAGATGTATTGTGAAAAAGACGTTCTAAAATTGGGGCGTTTTGGAGTTTTGTTAGGGGCAGGGTACCAACTGAAACAGAGTTCAAATTCAACACGTTTTTGTTTTTTTCTTTTTTGGAGTTTCTAATTTATTCTTTTTTTTCTATTATCTATCTATTTTTATTTAATTTTTTTGGCTGGCTTATTCTATTTTTGTTTTAAATGTTCTAGATTCCAGCACTTAAATTGTATACTAATTTAGTTGATCAAATAAACATTTTACAATATTAAAGTTTGAATATAAATTTAAATTTTATGAGAGAAAATACTATAATAAAAATGTTTGAACAGTAATTTAAATTTATGAATAGATTTTAGACTTTTCATTCAAGTGGACAACTCAAGTTAAAAATTAAATTTATGTAAGAAAAAATACATATAGTAAAAAAATATAACTTTAAATTTTTATAAGAAAAATATTATATTAAAAATTTAAGTTGTGAGTCAAAATATTAAGGAAACTTTTCGAAGTAATTTAAGAGATGTTTGGTTCATGGATTAGAATCATGTGATTATAATCATTTTTTATTTACGTGTATTTTTTGTGAGAGAAAATACTGTAACGAATCATGAACCATGATTCAAATCATTGTTTAAATTCTCCAACCAAACATCCCCTTAATTTGAATTGAACTTTTTCAAAAGTCAATTTTTTGAAATGTCTTCAATGGTTCTTGGTGGGGTTTTTTTGTTTTTTTCCTTTTTTTTCTTTTTTGGTTGTTTAATTCACTATACATACATGTTTCTAGGGAGATGTTTGAAGCTTAACGAGGAAGATACATTTGGCAACTAACTCGTACAATTTTCTTCAGTATTAACCTTTTTTTTTCTTTTTTTCTTTTTTTTTTCTTTTTTCTTTTTTCCTCTTTTTTTTTTCCTGAAAGAAATTGCTTCCAATTTAACATGGCAGCTAGTTTCCAACTGATTTTTGCTAAGAAGCGATTACCAATCTCTCAACTCGAACCTGCGATTTCCTTTCAAAGAAAAATAGCTGGAATATATTTTTTTTAATTTTGTGATGCAAAAATATGAAACAAAAAAAAAATAGCTGGAAGAAGTGACTTGGTGTATATATTAATACAGCCTATTAGTCATATACATTCTCGCTTTCGTCAACCAAATGGAGATAAGATAAAATGAAATTAAAAATAAAAAAATTTCTCTCCAAAGTGCTGAATTGTGTGAAGAAACAATAAAGCTTTTTCCTCAAAAAAAAAAAAAAAAAAAGAAAACGAAAAGTTTCGAATTTAAGTTCCTAATTATGTATATATTACTTTTGATTACCAAAAAAAATCCATTAAAATTTAACATAATAATATCTGGTTTTTGTTGAAGCAATTTTGCTACTGTAATATGATGTTATTTGTCAAAATAGTTATATATATATATATAATATATATATATAAGTGTGATTTGTCAAAATAACTGCCAAAGCGTATTATATTCGTCCCAATCATGTTAGCTTTTCTTAGAACAGCTGTTTAAGATCACGTATAATAACTAATTTAAAACTAATATATTTTTAAATTAAATTCAATAATCTGATTCGGTCTGCTGAAGAAATTCACTATCTTATATATTATAGCCAATTTCCTCTTTTATAAATGTATTATGCTCTGTTGAATGAGAAGCTTTGCACTAGTTTGGAAAGTATGTGATCTGGCCACTGGTTTTGAGATATTTTATAAAAGCAAATTTTAATTTTTTTTAAAAATCAAATAACAGGATTTAAAGTTAAACATCCCCTTTTTTTTGTGTACCCTGAGAAACTTCAATTAAAATACGGAAAAAGCACACACCTTTTTCATGGTATATTCTATTAGAATCTCGTTCATTTTACCGATTTGAGTTTTCAATTTTAGTTTTGTTATAGTTAAAAGCTCTCATAAAAAGTTACATTTAATTTTTTTTACTACAGTTAAAAACTCTAAAAAAATATCACATCTCAATTCGAATTAAAAACTCAAATCCGCAAAGCGAACGAGACAAAAGGCTCGTTTAGTTCACAGATTCGAGTTTTTAATTCGAGTTGAGATATGACTTTATGTGAGAGCTTTTTACTGTAGCAAAAAAGTTAGATGTAACTGTTTCTGAGAGTTTTTTATTATAACAAAATTTAAATTATAAACTCAAATCAGTAAAATGAACGGATATATACATCCAATATTTTTATCTTACTATAATTACCAAATCCTTTCCACATGGGCATGACTCATAAGCGAACCCATAATGACCTGGAATGGATCAAGAAAACAACACAATAACAACTTGTCAAAATACCCAAAATCTCTCTTGTGTTTTTTTTTTCTTCTTATTAATTAAACTTATCTTGTTTGAAAAGTTCACAAGATCCGCAGCACTTTAGAATTTTGGGTTACACGTTCACTACCGACCAGACTTTACGAGGGGAAAAAGAGAATTTAACCGAATAATTTCCAAGTGGTCGTTAAAAGAATCCAATTCCATAGTTAATGGACGGTTACATAACATATTGAACCCAAAAAAAAAACTATTATTCATGTGTTAGACTATATAAATCTACATGTGTATTCTGTTTGCTTTTTCTTTCTTCTTTTTCCGTTGATTCTCTCTCCTAAAACCTCTTTAGAAACGAGTTTTTAACTGTTAAATTTTATTAAAATCACAACATATTACAAATAAAACTGATTGTTTTTATACAAAACTGATGGTTAAAAACAAAACTTTTCAATAATTCATTTATTCATAACCTTAATTAAGTTCTTTTTTAGTAGCCTTTTTAAGAAAAGTAACATATCACACAACTCGTATTACTAAGAAATAATTACATAAAAGTCTTTTTTAAATCATGAAATGTCTATTTTAAAAACCTTATTTCTGAAAATATTTACTTTTACACTATTATTAACGGCTTCAAATTTCCCTAAAAAAAATTATTAACGGCTTCAAAACAATTCTAGCAAAAAAAAAAAAAAGCTTCAAACAAGAGACCAATTAAGAGCCCGTACTAACAGGTGTAGGAGATTGATTACCTTCAACAGGAAACAACGAAACCATCACTGTTGATTGATTTTTTTTTCTTTCATTTTTACTGCTGAAAATAGATATATTAATGGCATGTTTGGTTTATAAATTTGAACATAAATTTAAATTTTATAAGAAAAAGCACTGCAATAAAATGACTATGAAGGTGAAGTCATGTCAATAAGAGTCTTTTTTTGTTGCGAAAGAAGTTGCATGAATAAAAAAGTGTAACAAGATGATGATGACAGTTGAAGGCAATAAAAATAAGATGGTGAAGACTTATAACAATGAAATACTTTGAAGAAGAAGAAATCAATTCATCGTGTCAAGTTTGATGAGAGTTTAAACTTGACACATGTTTATTCTTGTTGAAATAGCATCGTCGTCATCTCATCCGTGAGGGGTGCAATGACGAGTGTCGAGATTAGATACCCAAATGAGTGAGTTAAGATAATTTGAGTCAATGTGAAGATTGTTAGGTAATTGTCTCAAATTGGTTTTGAGAAAGTTAACTTTCTTAGGTAAATTACTATTTTTTGTTTTTAGACAAAGGTTATTAAGAGTTTATAAATAAATGTTTTGTGTTGGTGTTTGTGTAGAGAGAAAAAGGGGAGAAAAAGCAAGTGTCTCTGTTTGAGAGAAAGATACAAGTTTGAGAAGAGATATAATATAGGTAAAGAGTGTAAAAGGTATTGGGTAGAGAGAGATTGAGAAAATTGTTGAATGTGTAATTCTAAAATTATTAGTGATTATTTTTCTCTCTTTTGTAGACATAGAAAATTTGTCCGAACTATTAAAATTTTTGTCTTTTCTACTTTTTTGTTATTTCTATTTCAGTTTATTTTTCCGTTCTGTGAATATAAAGGTGTGTTTTTCTCCAACACTATAGATTTATAAGAATACAATAAAAATGAAGTTCAATTTTATTATAATTCATTTCAAAACTGGAAGAAAAAAAAAATCATTCCAGTTGCCTTAAAAAAAATATTATAATTTCCGTCCAATTAATTTATGGGTGTTTGTTCAAAAGTCTGCCATCAAATTATGTCTTTAGAGTAAGATTGGCTGCCCTTTAGAAATTAAATAAAGATTTATTTCATATAAATATTATAATGTTTGAAACCAAATTTTATATTCAACTGATTTGTTTGATTAAAAAGTCAATCTGCCGCAATAAGTAATATATAAGCAACGAAAGGACTGCTAGTGCTTCTCAGTTCTCACCATAGCCAATTTTTGAAGAAAATACGCATACAACTTAGTATCTTATACATCAGATATACACGTATGGTGATTGAATTAGGAATTTGTCTTGATTCAATTATATTTGTTATGGAATTTAGAAACAACTAAGTCAAGAACGATGATTAAAATAGCGTACGAGGACCGAATTTGTCCTCAATTCTAATCATTTAAGTCGGGAAATTCTAACAATTTTTTATTGTATTATGCATTAAACAAATCAAAACTATTATTAATATTAATTCATATTAATTCGATTTTTTTTGTGAAGGGAATAAAGTATTCTAATTCAATCCACCAAATGTTCGGAAAGAAAACATAATAAATTCAATTATTTTTTTATGAAGGGGAATAAAATATTCTAATTCAATTCAAATGTAAGGAAAGAAAACGGCTCCCGACTTTTAGGGTAAGAAAGCAATAATTAATGTCACCATACATTTGTGCTGGTTCATATATTTAGAACAATGTATTTAGAGCAATACTAATATCACTATATATTTGTTCTGGTTCAAAGTCGACTTCCTTAATGAACTCTACAATTCAAAAAATTAATTATAAAATAACGAGTTATAATAAAAATTAGTTTTATGCAATGGGATACATCATCAATTAGTTTATGCAATTTTTGTAAATAAATTAAGCACACGTAAGATTATTGCAACAGA